TGACCCCATTATAACACATGAACTCGGATCCCATGTTATACTGAGGTTGGTGGTCTCGCATCAGGTCACCACTTTCTATGTGCTGCGCATGCATCATATGCACAGAAAATGCTGTTAATGCAGCCCCTGCACCATCACGTGTGGCGTTCCTCAGGGCTCTGCCCTTGGTCACCTCCTTTTCAACATCTACGTGCTCCCACTTGGTGACATGTATGCGGATGACACCCAACTCTATCTCTCTGCCTCCACCCTTGATTCCAGGACCACTGCTGTCCTGAGAGACTGCCTGTCGGACATCAAGCTTTCTCCAGTTGAATGTCAACAAGACCGAGGCCCTCTTGCTTGGCTCCCGTAAGGGCCTCATACCTCAGGCACTGACAGCATCATCCTTCACTCTACATCTCAGGGAGCCAATATGGAACCTCGGCGTCCTGTTCTACCCTCAACTGTACTTCATCCCCCACATCCGTGCCATAACCTGCTCCGCCTTTCTCCACCTCCGCAACATTGCCCGGCTATGCAAACTCCATGCTTGTCGGCCTCCCCAACTCCTCCCTCCACAGGCTGCAGTTCATCCAGAACTCTGCAGCCCTTGTCCTCTTCCACACCAGGCTTTGCAATCCTATCACCCCCATCCTCACCCAACTCCACTGGCTCCACATCACTCAGAGCATACAGTTCAAGATCCTGGTCCTCACCTTCAAAGCCTTCCACGGCCTTGGTCCTCCCTACCTCTGTGACCTCCTAACCCTCTACCAACCTGTCTGCTCCCTCCGCTAGGCGGGCTCTGGCCTGCTTCATGTCCTCTACCTTGCCTGTCCCACTATCAGCGGGCGGGCCTTCAGCTTCTCTGACCCCACCCTCTGGAACTCCATCCCACAGTCCATCCACCTCGCCCCCTCCCTTGCCTCCTTCATGACTCTCAAGACCCTCCTCTTCAACTGTGCCTTTGGTCTCCTTCCCTCCCTGCCCTTCACCCCTCTTTAACCCAACCACCAGCACGGGTAAGGATCCCTGACTGTCCAGCGCCTTGGGATGTCCTCCTGACGTGAAAGGCTGTATACAAATGTAATTTGTTGTTGTTGTCATTTCAACGTGCAGGAAGTGATGTCAGTGGTAGTCTGTTGACCTAGTAAATCCCTGGCTCCAGTGACCAGTCTGCCCCTCCAAGTTCTACTGATGAGCCAGGCTGGCTGGTCTGGCATCAGCTGTGCCCTAGAGTACTGCAGGTTGCCTGGCTCAGGAACTGGACTCCCCAGACCGCCACACAGCGTTAATAATTCTGACATTCCATGGCCAAACATGTCACCTTGATTCAAGGCGACCCAACTTACCTCTCCACTAGGAGGTGAGTCATTCCTTTGTCATATGACAACAGAAAGATATAAATTTGAGCCCTCAATGGGTGGGTGGAAGGTACCAGCACCCCCTGATGAGCAGCACAGCTGATACATTGGACAGAAGTGCATCTCACAATAGGAGAGCACCACTACTACTTGTGATAGTTATCGCTAAGCCACAGGATCTTCTGAAATTTTGACCTGAAAAAAGAATCATTGACTCCATTTTACCAAGTGAGAAGACTGCCATTTATTATTATTGAAAAGCTGAAGATTAGCAAGTAAGATATATGATTTACAAGTATTCTTCATGTCTATGTTTCTGGGAATTCCATCATTTATAGACAACGGAGATAAACATTTAGATTTCATCACCAGGCTCATTGATTAATTTGATGAGTTTGGTTTCAGGGCAAACACATTGTGCTGAATCCACAAAACTGCATTTAGAGTTTTTTTGTGTATTTGTTGCTCTTAAATCATCTTTTGTGTAACAAAGATAACATTTGGATCCTCCAAAGTGCAATGGATTTTTTACTTCAATTATGAGACATAAACACTCAACTAGATTTGTCATTTTGTGATCATCACAGTCATTGAGTCTGAGTAATATCTGCCTGGAATACAGGAGAAAATAGCTCTTCTTTACTGCTAAGTCTTATCTATAATTGTAAAGTTGAATGTACAGAAAAGTCAAAGAAAAATATGAAAGAAGCAGAATAAAATGAACAATTCAGAAACACTGAAAGAAGCAATTAACAAATTTGTATTATGTGGGTTATTGATGTGGTTCAGAAATTACAAAATTGAAGTAAAATTGCTTTTCCTTCTCCTCCACAGCTTGCTATTATACTTATTTTGCTCCAAAATATGTAATATAAAGACCATGATAAATTATTAATCTTGTATGTTTAATTTAATAGAATGTTTTTATGTTAAAGATATATGTTCCCTCATGTTTAGGATTGTAATGGTATAGACAGTCCCAGAGTTTATTTGAACTGCTTTCTAAAGAGATGGTATTATTTCTGTATGGATTGCATAGACTGGTTAAAATATTAATCAAACTGTGCCCAATAGTTTCTTATGCACATCAGTTTGCTCAACTGTCTGAATTTAGAATTGACTTCTTAAATTCTATTCTATATACAAACTGTTATTTCAGACTTTCGTTCTAAAATTTGGGATTTGGAATGGAAATTCCAATTAAAAATGCTACAAATAATGGTGTTAACCTATGTAACTTAGAGGTGTTGAAGGAGAAAACAAGTGTTGACAGTGTCAAAGGCAGCAGATAGATTGAGGAGGGAAGTGTAGGGAACCCCAGTCGCAGACCAATGTCATTGGTGATTTTGACTTGTCAGTGGAGTGGGATGGCCTAAAGCCATACTGGAAGCCCTGAAATATAATGGGAGAGCAAGCAACATAGTTGGAAAGTAATGAATGATGTTAATTTTTGGAGCTGAGCAACTATACAATCTCTTTAGGTTATGGGTGGCTTGGGAAGGGAAGGTTGGAAGGGTGTGGAAGGGAGGGAGGGAGGGAGGGAGGAGGGTGGTTGGTGATGAAGAAAAGAAGCTTTAGGTTTCTTTTTACTCTTCTGGAGTAGAAGAGGATTTGGCCGTGGAGAGGAGGACAATATAGGTAGAAATTTGTGACATTCATAATGCGTTCCTTGTAAAATTTAGCACAAGAAACCTTATTAAATATTGCTCTCATACTGTTCACTAATTAATGCCACTCACTTCCTTCAGATCTCAGTTTTCACCCGGATTCAGGAACATTGGTTCCATCTGGGGACGGGTAAGATCTGATGACCTGGAGACAGAATGGGTCCAGCAATAGAGGAAATGTCTTAATTCAGTCGCTGCAATCAAATGCAGATGTCAGCATGAGGGGCAGCTTTTGAGTCCATTAATTCCTTAGAAATGTTCCAATGTGAGGATGGAGGGGAGGTAGGGGGAATCATCACCAGGAAGGTGTTACAAACTGCAGCAAATTTCACCCCAGTGTTCCTTGATTATGCTGGATATGTGTTTGGTTAGGCCACTTTTATGCCACGTATGCTTTCGCTAGCATTCTGTTTAATGTACAAAGGACCACCACCCCCCCACATGCACTTAATACTTCAACTTAGTATCACTTATGACTGTCACTTCCTCCTTCAACTGCTACCTTTGTGGTGTAGTTATATTACCTAGAACCATAATGATAGACATGGTCAGAACAAGACACTGTTCTATTTTGTATGTGTAGAATGCAAAGCAACAAGCAATTAACAGCAGAGATATGGGAGAACATTTTCCTTAATGTGGCAATGGATTCCTATATAAAATTATTTCAGAAAAAATGACATTTGTGAAAAAAAATTAACCCAGTTTGTATGTGTTACTATTTTAGGTTTAATTCTAGGGTATCACTGTGATTTAATTTCTTAGAATAATTTGGAATTGATTTTACTTTGAACTACCTTCCATTTGTAAATAAACAGTCTATGCAGAAATAGAAAACAATACATTCTCTTAATTTTGGATGAATTTTTAATCGACCTTCTACACACTAATTTATTTTCCATCACTGTTCAGTTTCCTTCTCTCGTGCATTGTGTGTGACTGTATACAACTATTCTGTTTTTCTAACCCTCTTGGCTTTACCAGAGTTATCCAGTGTAATGTAGTTTGAAATGAAAATGTTTTACAATTTCATCAAAGTTTCCCCTTGTGCTCAAACCTGTTCACTTTTTCCAATGATAAATTAATAATTCTCGCAGCTGACAGGCTTTCTCTTTTCAATATTTATTTCGTTCTTATTAGATTCCCTCACTAAAGGATAACAGAAGTGTAATGGTAATGTTTATTGTTTATATTAATTGTACTATTTTTTGATTTTAAGTTACAATTTAAGGAAGGGTGTGGATCCCTTGGAAACAGAAAGATTTAAAATATAAAAATCAGCGATGCCGGATGCCACAGTGGTGATGCTGGGAGCAGGTTTCCACATGCCCGGTGAACCACATTATATGAAGAATTAGAGGGATTTGTTCTTAAGTTAAGAAGTAAAGCTAAACTAATTATATTGTGGTCTAAAGTGCAGGTTGGGCTAATAGCCCATGGGTTAGCCATGTTCTAACGCATGCAGGTGCCTTTAAATATGTTGTTAACACCCCCCCCCCCCCCCATGAAAATGACTCCAGATGATTTTGATCCTTTTCAATGGTTAATTCCACAGTATGGGCACCTGACGGCATTTGCATGTGGTTCATCCATCTATGAGCCCAACTCACATTTTACACCCCAGTAAGATGAAGAGTTAATCTGGGAGTTGCTAAGATTCTTTGTAAATGAAATGGTGTCATGTGGCTGAATATTTAAAGCACACTTAGATGTCTAACTGTTTGATATTCAAACCAGTTGTCTGTAATTTCTGTTTCTGTCCTTCTCTCTGTCTTCCTCTTCCGCACTTCTTATGTGTTTGATTCTCACAGGGGACGTGGATTACTACTGGCTGGACCATGCGTCTTGGCATAGCAGTGAGGCGTCCCCAATGTCTTTGGTGAGACATGTGGAGCCTTACCATTCAGTTTCCTTTTCATTTCACTTTCCTTTGGTTTATTTATGCCTTTGCATGTTTCTTTTCTTTTTTTTTATCCCACGCCTGTAGGGAACAGTCAAAGGGGAAAAAGAAAAACTAGTGAGCAGGCAGTATTGTCGGACTCTAACACCTTGTCTGAGAGGCAAAAGAAAATGGTGCGATTTGGTGGCCACTCATTGGAAGAGGACTTGGAATGGTCTGAGCCTCAGATTAAAGACTCTGGGGTAGATACGTGCAGTAGCACAACACTAAACGAGGAACATAACCATAGCGAGAAGGTACTAAGTCTGTATAGCCTGCATTCTACCTGCTCATTTGGTCTTTGTTTGCTCTCTGTCACTGATTTTAAAGGGACAGAACTTTCCAGAGATAAATCCGCACCTGCAAAGGTGCAGATAATAGTAAAGAAATACAAATCTGCTTGTTATTGCTGAAACAGTTAAATCTTGTTTATTTTTAGAGGCAAACAGGAATGTTCAGTTCTAAACCTGCATGATAGTCTTTTTCTAAATGTTTTGTGTTGTTATTCAGGAATATATTTATTTGTTTAAACTTCTAAACATTGATTTTTCTGAATTTATAATTAAAGATCTTCTTAAAATATCCCCTTAAAGTGACAACATAAAATTATTATAATGTATATATAAAAAAACGCAGACAGAGGAAAAGTTGGATCTGTTTTGCACAGAATTGTGTTTTTCTTTTTTCCCTTCCACTGTTGTGTATGTAAATTTATTTTGGTGCAGTGACATTTTGGTAGATGTTGTAATAGAATCTGTTCTGCTGTCTGCTTTGGTACCCGCTATTTGCTTAAACGAAATTTGCAGGATGCAGTGTCAGTGGTGGTTTTTGGTGTGACAGGGTGGTGGATGTTACTGCGCAGTCTTGCCCTTGCCTGCTTTTTACTGCGCATGAACATAAGCATGAACTGAAACAACTGGCTCTTGTAATTACACAAGCTTCGCCTACAAAATATACAGTCAATTCATTTTACAACATATTCTGTGAAATGCTTTGAGACGTCTCAAAGACGCGATAAGGCGCTATATCAAAATCAAAAAAGGCAATGTGGAAATCTCTTCCAGTTTATGAAAATCCCCCAAAGTTGAAATCATCCCAATACTACTTTCAAGCTAAATGTGGGCTTGAGTTGAATTCGGAAGCCGAAATTAATAAATAAACCAAAAGGTTTGTGTAATTGCAATTTTGTTCTAAATGTGGAAGGAAATGACAAAGGTGAATTTTGAAATAATGAACTACTCGAGCGTGCTAGGAGTGTCTGGATATTAAAGACCCATATGTTAATCTTTGATCTCATAGCATCCCGTGACGTGGCAACCTTCCAAAGATGGAGATCGCCTTATTGGTCGGATTCTGTTAAATAAACGTCTCAAAGATGGTAGTGTGCCTCGTGACTCTGGAGCATTGCTGGGACTGAAGGTAGGTTTAAATCCTATTACACTACCACACAGCGACAACCTGCGAACCTGAAAACGGACAACACTTGCACATTTTTTCTTAAGCCGTTTAAAAAAACAAATGCACAATAAATGCATTCTTGTCTCTCTGTTTTACCTCTGATTTAAATGTATGTTTCCTTTAACTAATGGAATGTCTGCTAAACCCTGACATTTACTTCAAACACATAACCAGTATCTTAGTGGTGAACAGTTCAGCTTCAGACCCACTTTCATTCGTATACTGAGTGATACTAACTGTAGTCCTGTGGAAATTGTGCTACATTGTGCTCTGTGCCTTTGGCTACCCTCTCTGCCCTCCACTCTCCCTGATCCCAACGCCCCCCTGCTCGGGACCTAATCCCTGACTGTTCAGCGCCTTGGGACATCCTCCCGATGAGAAAGGCGCTTTACAAATATAATTTTGCATTGTATTGTACATCTGCCCTTTTGAACAAATCGTCCCTTTGCTTCTCAACTCAGCAAATAAATTGTTTCGCATTCTAATAACTCACTGGTTGTAACTGAGGAATTGCCTCACAGAACTCATTTGTTAATAACAGCACATAGAGATCAAATTACAGTATTCCTATTTTAGTTTGGAGCAGTATTGAAGAAGAGAAATCTTCAGGGAGCACATTCGTGGTGCTGAGGTTGTGGGGATCGGAGGAGAGCAGGGAAATGATGACTTTGGTGTAATGGTTGCACTTGAGGATTTCTCTGCTTTGTTACTGCTTCTCGCTCACTAAAATCAGCATTGTGTTTGCAGCTGAAGACAGGATACCAATTAAATATCCAATGAAGGAGCACTTAAATGCTTTCTCCAGAATTACAAGTCAAGTCTGAAATCCAAATTGGTAGTGATTTTGTTTTAAAAAAACGCAAAAAAGGATCGAGTGGAATTTGGGGGGTGTTTACTAGCACAGCGTTAGAATTCCTCAATTGGTGAGACTTTATTATGTGAACTTTATGACAAAGAATGCATTATGAATGATGCAAATTTCACATTGGAATGTGATAAGCTGGTGTCCAAAGTTATTCACTGTTTATTTCTTGGAGCAAATAACAGCATAAAACAAACTGTTTTGCATCAATTTGTAACCAAGTGGTGACTATCCTTGGGCAAGGCGGGGGGAGGTAAACTGGGTAAGCTGAGCTGCCGAGGTTGGTAATAGAATGTCAGAATCAAGTCAACCCTATGTGATGATCTCAGTATCCAGTTTCTGAGCCAGGACACTGCTGATGGCAGACCAGCCAGCTTGGCTCATAAGCAGGACCAGTCACTAGATTTAGGGATTCATTCCACGCTCCTGTTAACATTGCAAGCCAAAGGCTTAGCATAATGCTCACAGAATTCTCCCAATGCAAAGAATAATAGAGAACATCCAATTTCAGAGGATTAACATCTTTCTCCTTGAATCATTTACAGTATGTAAAAAATATAAATCACTCCAGAAATATTGTATTTAGGTTTTTAAACTACATAATAGTAAAAAAAATTATAGAGCACCTTTCCAGTAAAATTTAATGTCTCAAAGTGTTATACAAAATATAACTAATAATAATAATAATTGCATTTGATATAGTGCTTTATCACATTGTCAAACATCTCAAAGGGCTTCTCAAGAATTTACTGTAAAGTATACTGACCATGGTGTAGGTGAATGCAGCCGCCAATTTGCACACAGCAATGTTCCATAGATTGCCCAAGAAGTGCATGACCGATTTCATAGGCCTACGATATACATATTAAGAACGAGAACTTATTTAATTGATGTGAAATGGAATCAGTGTTATATAGGCAAACGTGGCAGCTGATCGGCACCATAAATCCCATTCGCCCCAATGAGATGAACAGCCATTTACAATGCAGCTGCGTTAAAACACTGTGTTTGGGATCCATAAGTTCCCGAACCAAGTTATAAAGAGGCTCAATAGTGGGCTTTAATGTGCCTACGTACAGCCGACTTCTGAAATGTTAGACCGTATGCTTGTGCAAAGCAGGAAGTGATGTCAATGGCTATCTAATGACTGGAAGTCAGCCATATTAGTGGGAAAACCTGGCAGGTGACAGGAAGTGATCAGACAGGCTGAGCACATTTGCAATGAAAGAGGTCCACAGTGTGACCCCATTATAAGTAAATTAGTGTTCCACTGCATTGTAGTGGGATGTATTTGGATGATCAGTGGTATATAAACCAGGGTATTTGAAAGAATGACTCTGTCTTTCCTTGAAATAGCAATTGAAATTTACTTGAAATAACCCTGACCTTTGAATCCCGAGGCGACAGAACTAAACAATGAAAGAATGGGATTATCAGGGCATAATAAAATTGTATAGCATATAGAATATTAATAATTAAAAACACTTTAAAATCCTCATCAAGCCCAGCTTTCCCGTGTGTCTGAGGCCAGGTCTGCTGGCTCACTCCTGGTTTTGTGATCTGCTGAAACAATTACTGATGTATTCACATCTGTTCCAATCTGCTTGGCAGCTCAGCAGAGTCAGATGAGGTTATACTGATATTATATTTCACTGCTGATGCCCTGCTCATGAGCTCCTCTGAGTTCACCCAAACCTCATTACACAGTGTCAGTGGGTTGAGAATATAAACTGTTTCACTGCTGCTACTTGAAGACTTAGCTGCAGTGCCTTTCAGTGCACAGAAAAATGTGCCGAATAAGGAGCTTTGTGTTGTATATGAGGCCACGTCTGCCTGTTCTTCAGATTAAAGACCCTATGACACTCAGGAAGAGAAAATATTTTCTCTTGGTGTGACAAACCTCTGAATAAATTGGCCATTCACCTCATAGCTGTTTCTGGGACATTACTGATGCAAATGGCTGCCGTGTTTGCCTCCCAAAAAAACTATCCCTGACGGTAATTACCTGTGAAGCTCTAAGAATTATGACATGTAGAAGTGCTATGCAATTTTTTTACTTTAAACTTCATGAACCTCTTTGTAGCAGTGCCGGAGAAGTATTGAATTGTTTGGGGAGGGCATCCTTTAGATGAGCCATTAAACTGTGCTCCTAAAAGAAGTTGCTAAATGCTGGTACTTTCTTTTAACCCACAAATTAAGCTAGCATTGTGTTAGACATGCAAAACCAGTAAAGACTTTTAAAGCATTCCTTTTCACAATTTTTCTCAGATGCTACTTAAGCAAATAAAACCAAATACCTCCCACAAAAAGTACATTGACGTTTACACTGTGTGGAAAATGTAATAAAACATTATTCTGTAGAAAACTGACAGCAGGTTTAAGGTTCAGAACGAATCGAGTGGCTGAGGCAATATTGCACAACTTGGGAGTTGCACCTGACTGATTTACAAACCTCAGCACAACTCAAAATTGAATCACTGCTTTAAACTCACTGCCAGTTTTCTGTTATTCGTTTTATAGTATGTAGCTTATTTGTATTAAATATGCTTTGAGATTGGAATTCCTTTTGCATCATAAGCGTAAACACTCAAAGCCACTACCGATAGTTGCAGCAGGAATATCTTGCTTTTTTTCACACGATCACAAGAGAGGTTTGGTTGAAGAAGACCCTTCGAGCCATTTGATCTTATCCTTCCAGAATTCCCACCCTACTGTCCTCAAATGGAATGTTACAGCATGGAAATAGGCCATTAGGTCATTTCTTAGAGTTTATACTGTACCTGAGCCTCCACCTCTCTTAATCGTCTCTCCCAAACCTTTCTATTTTCTTTTCCCTCATGTATGCATGACATTTCTTCTTAAATACATTTAAGAGGTTTATGCCATCACAGCACCAAGCTGTTTTATTTAATGCGTTCAATGTATTTATTTACCCTCTGGGTAAAGATATACTTCATGGAATGAAATATCCCTTTGCAATCCTAAACCTAAGCCCTCTGTATCCAAAAGTATTATCATTGGTGCGCTGTGGAGGCACAGTGACATCAGTGATTTTGTGGTGAAGTTGATTATAATGTAGGGCCTGCAGCTATCTGGCAAAACACAATGGCCACTCTAGTTTATTTCAACCTAGAATTCCACGGAAGTTACCTCTTCATAGAGTGATACAACAAGGACAAGGGTCACACAAGCCTCCATCCCTCCTATTCCCATCATGTACACCCCTTTAGTCACCTTCTTCCTCGTGTATGCATCTTCATTCTGAGTACATATTCCCAGGTGTAAATAAATAAAATAACTCATCCAGGCATTTAATCTAGTGCCTTCATTAGGACTCCTGTAGCTCATCGGTTAGAGCACTCGCCTCGCAAGCGAGAGACCTGGGTTTGATTCCCGGCAGGGTGAAACCTTGGGCAAGTTTCCTTATTCCACATGCCTGATAATAATCCCTCAAGAAAAAAACCCAATAATAATTTGGTCACTCAATCCACGATTGTTTGCGGGACACTGCTGTGCGTAATTGGCTGCCGCGTTTTACCCATAAAATACACAGACAATTCACTTTACAGTATATTCTGTGAATATCAGATGCAAGGAATATTATTTTATATTTATTATTTTCATGTCGGGAGAACATCTGATAGCGCTTTACAGGACATACTGCAAAGTGCGTCTTTTGTAAGCGAACTATGAGATACTGTGTAAATATTGTAAGACATCTTGAAGAAATTTCTCTAATCAGATCATTACATTTCCTACATTTACCCTAATGCTTATTAATGATGGTATTTAAAACTGGATTAACTTTTTCACATTACCACTTCATTGCTCATATGCAATTGTTTTAATAGACTGGCTAAACCACTGTGATAAGTAAGCCTTTAGCACTAGATAAACCACAAATTTATAGATATTAGATCGTGTTTCGTTCATCAGCTGTTTGCCTTCATTTAGTTTTATCTCTTAGCCAAATATAGCCATTTCAAGTAATATTAAAAAATACATGAAATGTGGAATTTTTCTCACCAATGTTTTATTCTCTTAAAGAGATAAATTAAGATCACCTAAAATCCAGAGGGCCAATTTTTCATTTCACATTATTATAATGATAATAATAATCCTTGCATTTGATATAGCACCTTATCACATCTTCGAGATGTTTCAAAGCGCTTCACAGAATATACTGTAAAATGAATTCACTGTATATTTTGTGGCCAAAACCTCATTGTTGAAAGATTTTTAAAAATATTTTTGCAGATTGTTCCAGAGATTTACCTCTATAAATTTTATGCAAATATCCCTTTTCGGGGTGGAGGGGATGTCCTGGGGATGTCCTGTTTTAAAATAATTCTCTTGAATTAAACTTACTGAGAAATGTTTTTTTCTTAATTAGGATTTCAGAAACCACTGTAAAGCTTTCATTTGATCTACTCTGAGGCTCTTTTGCATCCTGATGTAATCCTGTGAATTTTACAAGATTTTTAAAAATTATTAATAAGTTTCTTCTTTCTTATGCTTCTTGGCATAAATTTGCTGCATAATTCTCTTTGTACATTGTTTGGCTTGTTGTGTTACGTGACGTAAGACAGGAGCTGGAAGGTTCCTGAAAGATTTCAATTTGAGGGTGAAAAATGTCTTTTTGCTGGGAAAAAATACCTCACTGTTTCTATTTCCTTTCTAATTGTATTTGTTTTTGCTGTATGTGTAATCCTGCTGTTAATTGCTTTCTGAAAACTGAAAACTGAAGGGATTTTTATGTTCACCCTCAATTCATGAAAGGGATCATTTGCACTTTGTGATTTTAGGATCGCTACTTAACACAATGACCCTTTTTTTGTGAGGGGAGGGAAAGAACTAAAATTCCAGTGTAATTCCGAACAGCATTTTTTTTTAGAACTCGCACATCAGAAGCTGATTGAGGATGTAACAGGTCAAGCTTTATTGGTAGTGCATTACCATTATGCTGTAGTAGTGCCACTGTCAACAATACTAATACAGCTTAGTGCTGGGCTAAATGGCTCATAATTTCCCATGATCTTATGAGTGCAACTTCTGTTGGATGATCTTAGTCATGTTTGCAGTCCTGTATCCATCTTGGTGTGAACATGGCATCTAACTGACATCATAAACGATAGGATAAATCAGGTTTGCACTGTGTGATCTGGAAGCGAATCATGTTGGAGAAGGACTAGCTGAGCCACATTGAGAAGTGTTTCATTCCAGATTGATTCACACTCCCACAATACATTTAATTTTAAACTTACAAAACACACAGTCACTAAACTTTACAGTATATCCTCTAAAGTGTTTTGCGAAGTCCTCCTGATGTGAAATGGGTTAAATATAAGAATTATTATAATATGCATATATAGACCATAGCTGTCAGGTTCGACTCACAACTGTCCTCCTTCCCCACATCTGGTCCCTGACTAGGACCGCCTTCCTCCACCTTCGTGACATTGCTCGCCTCCGACCATACCTTACCCCAAATACATTCGTCACCTCCAGACTCGACTTTTCAAATGCTCCCTTTGCTGGTCTCCCCAGCTCCACCATTGCACAAGATCCAGCTAATCCAAAACTCCGCCACCCACATACTCACCCGTACTAAACTCTGTTCACCCAACAGACCAGTCCTACCCAGGCTCCCTATTGTCGAACGGATCGATTTGAAGATCCTCACATTGTTTTAAATCCCTTCATGCCCTGGCAGTCCTGGTAACTCCCTACCCCCAACCCACTATCCGCTGCCTCCTCTCGATTGGCTCCAGCCTTCTGCATGTCCCTCATGCCCTCCGTTCCACCATCAGTGGCCGTGCTTTCAGCCACTATGCCCCAAAACTCTGGAATACTCTTCCTCTATCCCTCAGTCTTGCCCTTCCTTCCCCATCTTCAGGTTGCGCCTGCAGACCTTCCTCTTCGACTATGCCTGTGGTCACCTTCCCATCCCCCTGCTAGACATCATGCTCGACCACTGTCAAGTGTTCTGGGACGTTATCCTGCATGAGGGTGGGCATTATATAAATGCAAGTTGTTGTTATATGAACTGTCTAATCTTGGATCAACAAGCAATCCTTGAACATTGTCAGTTGGTCCATTAGAGCTTTTGAATGTCAAAAAAGAGTTTTGTGAATTTAACAACCAATGTGCTACCAATTGGCGGTAATCATGTTTATCCCAATTCGATTAAGTCAATAGTGTCCTGCTTTCACGTTTAAGTCTGGCTGGATGAGTGTGGCACCGAACCCCCAAATTCCAGTGCAATACAGGGAAATGTTAATAACCATCACCCAATATTGCTATTAAATAGGAGTGGATAATATTAAATTAATATTAATTTGGAGGAACATGTAATGTATTACATTATGGATCCTTAGAGGATGAGTCATTTAGCAAACTATGGGTGCAAATAATGCTAGATCCCATCTGACTACTACAGTAAATGATTGCTTCTAATATTCCACTTAGACTTATATTTCTCACAGATCCTAGGATAGGTTCAAAGAAAGAACTTCATCCCTTTTGATTCAATTGCACCAGAACCCATCTGTCTGCCCAGGTGGACATTAAAAATTCCATAGGCAAAATACTGCACATGCTGGAAATCTGAAATAAAAACAGAAGTCACTGGGAGCACTCAGCAGGTCAGGCAGGAAATCCAGTACCCATGATTAAGGGAATCCAGTAACCTGACTTCAACAACAACTACTACTTGCATTTATATAGCGCTCTTCACACGGGGTGGTGTTCTGGAGTGACCAATTTTCTTGGTAACCCATTCTAGATAAGAGTGAATCCTCTCTGACTATTCCACTCAATAAAATGATAGTAAAACTGCACATGTAATTGAAATATTACATTCAAAGCACATTTAAACTAACCACATTCAAACTTTCTCTTCTGCCACCTTTTAGCTATACTGTTGTGGTATAAATGGTATAGATGTTTGTGAGTCCAGTGACATGGTGTATTAGAAAAATCTGCTTGAGAATGCAAAGTAAATCTATAAGGGGTTTCAGTGATGCGGTTTGTTCTAAACAGAAATGCTGTGTCATAGAATAATATGGGGTGGGAGACAGAGTCTGCAGATAGATAATAGATATATTTAAATTAAGTTGATATTAAATGAAGTATCTGCACACTTTTTCTTCTGAACAGGTTGTGGGGGGAAAGATGACTGAGACTGGGAGACTCTGTGCATTCATTACCAAGGTGAAGAAAGGAAGTTTAGCGGACACCGTGGGACATCTCAGACCAGGTGCCCTCTTTCTGATCCTTTATGGTCTTCTATTATCACCCATTCTTATAATTCAGGTTTCTCTAGCATTTGTAATCAGGGTTTTCCCAACAGTGCTTTGCAGTGAAACTTTGTAAAATCTGCCCAGTATATTCCATTGAAATTAACCACTAGGGAAGGAACAGTATTATAGAGCCAGACTTTTTTTGAAAATGTTCAAACCAAGAAACCATTTTGAAACTGCAAGCCCTCTATTTTGAATTTGAGTTGACTATTCTTTGATTTGGGTGGGTTTTCTAAGTAATCTGATCTATTGGAATTGGTTTCTTATCAGAAAGTAGAGACGAAGCACAACAAATGTCTATGCTGGTATTATCTCTTCCAATGTAACATTTTCCATATTCCAAAAATCCTCCTTATAAATCTGTTTTTCTCACCCTTTTTCTTTGATAATCTTTAATTTATGATCACTTGTTATTGATTCACTGATTAGTGGAAATATTTTTTCTCCATTTGGTCTATTAAAATCATTTATGAATTAGAAAACAATTCTAACTTATCCCTTAACCTCCAGTGTTAAGTCCAGTGGAAAATAGTTTAATGTACGCATTAGTTAACTTGGATAGACATACAATAAATTTGGGCTTTCACCTTTGGGTCCTGCGGAATGTCATGAATGGACTTTTGCAACTTTTTCACTTGGGCAGGGGTTAAGATTTACAAATTGTTTAATCTGGTGTAGATCCTGTTCAAAACCTGACAAGGATTTTGTATCTTTGTACAGATCCAGGATTATCCCATAATGCTGTCTTGTACTGCATAATCTTAAAGCCAGTCATTTGATGGGACTGAAGCAAAATTGTAGTTTTTCCTAAGCGTGCTTAATGATTCTACATTACTGTTTCACCTAATCTGTTATTTTGATTGCAAACTGTTCAATTTTAGGTGATGAAGTGCTAGAATGGAACGGCAGGTCATTGCAAGGAGCCACTTTTGAGGAGGTGTACAACATCATTCTTGAATCCAAACCTGAGCAACAAGTGGAGCTATTAGTTTCACGGCCTATCGGGTGAGTAGCTTCTTTGTTGACATCAAACTAGTTCCTATTTAACTAGGGTAATGAATGTCTTTTTACTGCACTTTTCAAATTCTTAAGCACTGTGTTCATAAATCCTCAGCCGTACTGCATATCCATTCATGGCAATATTGTGGTAATAAATCATTCTTAAGTCTATGCAAGACTGCTTAAATTTATTGGCTCCTTAAGGAAAAGGATAAACTGGGTCTCCTTGGAGCTGAACTGGCTCCAAGGTAATATGTTTGGTGATGGAATGTCAGAATTGAGCCAATCCTCTGTGCCGGTCTCGGTGGTCCAGTTTCTGAGCCAGGCGGATCTGCAGTATTCTAGGGCACTGCTGATAGCAGCACAGTGAGGCTATGGATGTCCTCCCAACATGTAAGGTGGTATATAAATGCAAATTCATGTTATATTGTTGTGTTTGCATATACAATATACAATACACAATCACCACACTTTACAGTAAATCCTGCAAAATATTTTAAACTATTTTGTGAATTTGAAGGGTGTTATATGAAATGCAAGGACTGGTTCATAACTGGAATGAACACAGTATTAGTGCAGTAAGATGAGTCAAATATGAAATCTATTCCTCGTGTGTGTGAGCCCACAACATAGATCTTCTCATAACACTACATGGATTTTTGTGGGACATTGCAAATTAACTGCCACATTTGTCTACAAAATACACTCACTACATTTTACACTAAATCCTGTAAAACGCTTTGAGACATTTTTTCCAGCGGCTCTATATCAAAGGCACTAAATCAAATGCAAGGATTATTATAATTTAGGAAAGGTAGACATTAAACTGCCACTCTCACTTCAAGAGGCCTTAAGGACAGCTGGTCCTGGCAAAGGATACAGCATGCTTTCTCATAGTGGTACTCCTTTGGGTTTGGCTTAAGTCAAATTCCTTCACCTGGGGTCTTCAATTTAAAAAAAATCAGAGTTTATGTTTTTGATGAAATGGTATTTTTGACATTGGAACATGGCGTAATCACCAGATCTTCCTGTTTCCTTGTAACATTTAGGGATATTCCCCGGATACCAGACAGCACTCATGGACAGCTAGAGTCAAGTAAGTTTGATTATTACTGTCCTCTGGAGCAGTGCTTTTGTTCTAGATTGTTTTATGCATATGCTAAAACATGTATTTACTGTTAATACTTCTGCTGTTAAGAATAAAGGATGTGGATTCTTTTAAAGAAATGTTTATGCGTATGCACACACAGGTTCTAGCTCCTTTGAGTCTCAGAAAATGGACCGACCCTCTATTTCTGTCACGTCTCCAATGAGCCCGAGCATGTTGCGAGATGCTCCACAATTCCTGCCTGGACAGCTCTCAGTATGTATAAATCAATTATATGCAGCTTTTTTCTCTCTGTTTATGTTGACCACAAATTTGCTTGGGATTAGCTATAACATATATCCAAAGGTCTATCTCCGATATTTCTTAATAAGCAATCTGAATTGTTCAAATAGGAACTCGTTCCTGTAACTAGAAGTGCGGGCGGTGCTATCTACGATCTGAGAATTTCTGTAGTATTCCTTATTCCATTTAGAAATGTGGCAAACTAATGTTTATATATTGTCCTTGATGTTGATCCACTTCACACTCACTATCCCAATTGAAGCTCTGTTTCTTGCTAAACTATTGCACTTAGAATCCCAGGCTGTCCCTTATGTCCCTTCTTCTTTGAATCCATGGGGAGAAAAATCTGATGTGACAGTAGACTGGTGATAAATGATCACGTGGATTAAAATGAAGGTCAAACCAGATAATCATTATTGCCTTCCAGCAATGCCCCAACCCCCCCCCCCCAAACCCCTCCATTTCAGTACAATGAAAGCTGGTTGCAGGATGACAATGACTATCTGAGCAGGCTTCATTGTGCTGAATTTGAGCAGGGGGACTATTACTCTTGCAGTATGTTAACTGGTTTGACCTCAATGTTAGTCTGTGATAATTAGCACATCACCCATCACAAAATGGGAATGAATTTGTGCGATGTCATTTTCCTCCTTGTCAGCACTCTCTGAATATTCCCTATAATCTCTTCCCTGTCTAATTCACCAGGACTTTTTCAGTTGATTTATTGAGTATCTTGACTTTGTGGTGTTTTTTTTGGGGGGGTTAGAAATCAGTATAAACACAATCACAGGAATGTTGCCAAGACTAGTCTGAAAAATATGAAACTAAACATCGAGATGCACTGGATAGAGTTTTCCAAATCTCTTGTTTCATAATGTTGCATCAGATGCATTTGCCAATCCAATTCCTAAAGTTGGGAATACTGTTGAACCATGGACATTTGCATTATGGAAGGAGGCCATTCGGCCCATCATGCCTGGCTCCTTTAAGAGCAATCCTTTCAGTCCCATTTACCTGCCCTTCCCCCACACTCCTATATATTACGCATTTTTAGGTAGCTATCAAGGACCTCTTGAAGGCTAAAATGGATTTTGCCTCAACCACCACTCCGGGCAGGGCATTCCATATCTGAACTACTCTGTGCATTAAAAAAAAAATTCCTAACCTCCTTATTGGTTCATTTGCCCAGTTAAATTGATGCCTTTTTGTAGAGGCCCAGACCTTAAGTGTTAAAGAGTCCAAATGAAAAAATAAAATGATTTCCATGTGGATGCCTCTTTTTGGGCTCCCCCGATCCACCCTGTTATAAATGTGTTAGAGTTTAACTATTTTCTGTCTGTATAATCCAGTGTCACCTTTATGTAGTGATCGAAGAAATGGATTGTGGGGCGATACGGTAATATGTTTGCTGTTGTAACTGTTTATTTTAGAGCACTCTTTCAGTTTCTGTTTCTGGACGTACTTTTTTAGTTTTTATTTATTTTCTTTGTTGTTTAATTTTGCTTACCAGAGCCAAAGCCTTAGTAGAAGAACAGCACCTTTTGTCCCTAGGGTTCAGGTAACAGTACCATATATATCTGCAATTACTATCATTTGGAAAATGCACCAAAATAACCGGTTGACAGCAAATTTCATTTTCTGCGTGTTCCCCTTTTTGGCTGTATTGCATATCTGCATATCTTAAACTCCCTGAACATCCTACCAGTCCTGAGGAAAACACTGCATGGTTTCAGTGACTGGGCTCATCCCCATTGCCATTACTCGGTGTTCAAAGGCAATGAGCTGCATTTTCCAACTTGCATAAATCCTTTATCCTTTAGTTGATCATTGGCAAACAAATGATACCTAAACAAATAGAAGATCTTCAATATATTCGGTTAGCTCCCTACTCCGTTAACTGAGTAGCAGGATTGTATTCTCCTCTGCAAGCCTCCAGCCACATTTGAACATGAACATACTCACAGCTGTGTGATTCGAGCCCAACAATGCCTGTTTTTCCACTCAACTGCTTAGTGGCTTGACACCAATGTGGGAGGGTGTGGGTAAAGGTGGGGACTAGGATGGACAACTACAGGAGATGAATTGAATGAGGCAAAGCCCATGATGGGGTAGTTTTTATGTGATCCATGGAATGGCCTCTTCCATGCTTTATGTTCTGCCTCCCAAGTCTGAATGCATTCAGGCCATAAGATGCCCCATCTCGTGGACAAACTGAGAACTGACACATCTCCCAAACTCAGACAGGCAGTATCAAGACATGGATACCTGGTAGACACGTTAGACAGCCTAAAGAACAAATAGTCCACCTTCTGATAGGATTTACCAAAAACACTGGGCATGATTATACTATCTGGTATTACAATACAGTACAAATTTAAATTTATATAGCATCTTTCACAAGGAAGGGAGACAAGGTGGAGGGGACTCCAGGATGGAGTTCCACAGAGCGGGGGCAGAATGGCTGAAAACTGGGTAGGTTGGTCAGGGGACATGAAGCAGGTTGCAGAGTGGAGGGAGAGGCTGGGGCAGAAGAGCAGAAAGCCTGGATATTAACAGATCTCAAAGTCTTTCAACCGCAAACAGCAGCAACATGATAATTATCACATCACACATCACATATTTCATTCCAGTGCAATTTCACTGGCAGTGAGAAAATTGCTGCCGTTTTAGGAGGAAGCACCTGGGAAGAACTTCAGCATAACTTGTACCAATTCTCATGGGAACAACTCAGCCAAAGCAGAGCTTGACAGAAATGACATTTTTGGAAAACAGAAATCTTTAGTAATCTTACTGTGATATAGTTAAAGGGTCCAACAGAACTGTGAGTAGTTTCTGGATAAAGGCGGTTGCAAGAAGTATTTAGGTACAATTTGTTTGCTAACGTACTGGAGTTTCAGTTTAGATATCATTCCTATTCCCTTCAAAGTCTTAGACTACCAATATGCTGTTTTGTTAAAACCTCATTTGCAAATTTTACAGAATGCTTCCTTGCTTTACTGCATGTTTGAGAAGTTGTGTATTCATCCTATTCCTAACTAAGTTTGTAGTTTTGAGTTCTTTGTCTCAACTCTGAGTTCCCCAATATGATAAAACTTAGTACAGTCGAAATTGATCATCTAGAAAACAGTGAGTGAGAGAGAAAAGATGGAAAAGAGAGTAAGGGAAAGAAAATCTAGAAAGAAGAATGAGAGAGAAAATTTAGAAGAGCGTGAATGGGAAAAAAAAGCTGGAGAAGAGTGAGAAAATGAGTGAAAGCAATTACATGCAATAAAAAAAAGTGAGAGCATGTGCATAGAATCAGTAAATGAAAGAGCAAAGGAGCCTGAGGAAAAGCACATTGAGACAACAACGGTGTGCAACTAAGTGAGAGAGAGAATTTACACCTGTAATGAAGCAACTTAAAGACATACCCCAGGCAGGTTTTCAACATTTTTGTTAATTTTGAAACTTGTATTACACAATTGATTCAGTCTCAAAGCAGTAAAGATCTAGCGACCTCCAGATTGTTGAGACCAGGAAAGGGTGTCCATTTTATTGTCTAATTTGTCATCTGTTTATTAATCTGTGTCCCTTTGTCTGATATCTTTAGTAAATAAAAGAGTTGTTCCGTGTGGCTCTGTGTATTGTTATCTATTAGCCCGCTCCCTGCAGTTGAATCCAACCAAAATGAAGTTAGACTATTTACCCTTCAGATGAGAGTACTACAAGAGTTTAATTACATCTGCAATTTAAGGTTCTAGTATAGTTCTGCTTGATGTTTTATTGATAGCTTTGAATTATCACTGGCTAGTGTATTGTCTTGTAGGCTATCACTTGAAACACATTTTAGACTGATTGAATGCTTTTATAATTCCATGTACATGACATGACACTAACAATATTAAGTACTTTACAGAGGCCACACACCAGTGCCCACACTCACGGAGCTAATGGAAGTTACGCAGATGAGCTGCAATGAAGTGTGATAGTTTTAGCCTAGAAAGTGAATGAAAGAGTGTTGAGTTTCAAAGCTTCTCAGACTTGTCTAATAAGTACGTTTATCATAGAATCATTTACTCTTTCAACAGATTAAACTTTGGTACGACAAAGTTGGCCACCAACTTATTGTAACAATCCTTGGAGCAAAAGACCTACCTTTCAGGGAAGAGGGGAGGCCAAGGAATCCATATGTCAAAATTTACTTTCTTCCAGACAGAAGGTAGGTTATTTGAAGCACAACTTCCACTGGAAATCTCTACAACTTGCCTTCTACCTCCTTTATATCCATTTTTCAGATTTGTGTCTAGTTTATTCATTGAATATCTCACTTTATGCATCTGAGGTAAAACAAGGTGCATCCCTCCAAGTAATCAGTCCATTCCAAGCAAAGGAAAATTTCCATGTGTAGGTCACATACAAGGGCAAAACTCTGCCTTTTTTGGGATACTTGGGTGCATGTGTCAGACACCCAGCTGACCTAAAAGAAAATTACGATGCATCTTTCCCACAATAAGAAATTGGCCCCTAAAGCAATCATAGTCCTCACCAATGCTTATTTTTTACAGCTTGCTAAGAGATATAACCCACCCTCTAAGGTAAAATATTTCCTCTATAGTCTGTGATGAGGAACACACTGTGTGAGGAATTGGAGAAATTAATGTAATCTCAGTTGTTTTACACCAGCACACTGGGCTAAGGCACTGCTGTAATCTCTGAAAATATTTAACTTCAATTGTTTCCAAAAGCATACAATTGTAAGTGCACTTTTGTTCCCCGACATATTCAAACTTGCAGAATTTAAATAGGCAGGAATTATCTTAAGAGGTCATTCATGTATTGTGGCTATATAGAGCCAGCTGTTTTCTTTAAAAAAAAGCTTACAAAGTGGCATTCCTCAGCATTCACTTGAATAAACTATCGCCCACTGGGTGTCACACACCCTTCCAAGGTTCTCCCTTTTAAGAATCCAGTGCCCACCATTTTTTACTTTTAGGTGAGCAGATTTTTGTTTTGTAAATTTTAGATCCTGAAGTGGCTTCTTAAGGTTTTTTGTTGTTGAATATTTATTTCCCAGCAATAAGTTACCAAGGTGATGTTGAAGGAGTGGAGGGTGACATTTTCACTTTAACCAAACCCAAAATTAAGGTTTAACAAGTGGGCTAACTGGGCCTGAAACCACCCGGTCGGTCACTTGGTGAAACGTTAAATAATTGGATATAAGATGTAGAAGGAAAGCCAAAGAGAAGTTGGGGAGATATTGGGGTTGTCAGAGAGGTCTGCTGTTCTGTCCTGTTCTTAAAAAAAAATGCAGAATTTCTGACTCAGTGAAAAGACAGTTGACACTTAGCTTAGGGATACTGTGGAATCCAAGATCATAGCTGAGAGCATATAAATGCAGGATAATGTCCCTGGGATAATTACTGACAAATGAAGTTCAATGCAGGTAGATGGAAAGTATCCATATTGGCAGTCAAAATAAAAGGCGCATCTACTACATGAATGTGATAGAGCTTATCAAGGAAGAGGCTGAAAGAGACCTTGGGGTTTTATTTGGCTTGTGTTCAATATAAGAACATAAGAACATAAGAATTAGGAGCAAGAGTAGGCCATTCGGCCCCTTGAGCCTACCCCGCCATTCGATAAGATCATGGCTGATCTTCTGACCTAACTCTAATTACCTGCCCTAACCCCATATCCCCTAATCCCTATATCTTGTAAAAATAAAAATTGTTCACACAGTGATCAGCAGCAATAAACAGATTGAACAGGATGCTGGGTTACATTGCCAAAACAGTGGAATCCAAATCCCCCAAAATCATGTTGAAGTTCTACAGTGCTCTGTACCAGACCTGATATACTGCATCGACTTATAGTTGGCATGACACAAGGGGGCAGGTCAGACCCCAGCATGCTGCTATGGGACCTAGAAAGTCAGAGATGATATTATTAATAGACTATTACGTTTAATCTATCTGTGCACAGAATTGCAAAGTCAGAAGTCCAGGAATAGGTCAGATACTTGCAATCTTACCTGAAGATAGTGCATAGTCAAGCCACTAGCAATATTGGGAACAAAATAAAGGGAATTGTATCTTACCCCATAAAAAAAATACAGAATGCACAATCTGGATCTATGATGTATTTATATATTTCTTTAATGATGACTGTAAATCCCTTGCAATTTTCTACTTCTGAGTTATTAGGTTAAACGAGTTGTATCTCATTGTACCCTCTATCTATAAGGTGTATTTTAAAGAGGTTATAACATTTATTTTGGAAGAACTATATTCTCAAAGGTCCACTGTAGTCCCACTGTATTGGACACTAACTAAGTTATGCCGGGGAAGGTGTTTTTCTTATCTTTTTTGTTGATTTTAATAGAACTAAAATGAAATAACCTTTACACACATGGGAACCCCAAATATAACTGGTTTAACACTGTTACAGCATGGGTGCTGTTCTGAGATTAGGGCATAGTGGAAGGAGCTTTGACTACATCGAACCTTACTGTACCTGAACTAGGAATGCTTGTTAGGTGACAATGGTATGTTGAAGTCTCAATGAGGATACTCTTGTATGAATGCAATCCAGGGTCACTTTGTGAGTGTCCTGTGAGCAACTGTCCAGACATTTTACACATATATTAATTAGACATAGTTGTGCGCCTTCAGAAATATTTTCTTGCTGAAAGAAAAAGATCAGGCTGAGTTCTGCTTCTTATCACTATAGTAGGCAACCCCTGCTACAAAGTGAGTGTGTATTTCTGGACATCACATCTGGACGAGACTTGGTTTAGTTGTACCTCCAGTGTGAAACAGAAGTGAGTTAACATTTTAGAAGTGCCAGAGGGTAAGCAAAAACACAGCAGTGAAGACATGCTACTCCTGGTTTAGCTTTCCCCTCCCTCCTTTGCTTGGTGTCCAATTCCATCCCTGTGAAGCACTCCGAGATGGCACCCTAGATGAAGAACACTATATAAATGCAAGTTGTCGTTAAAAGTTATATCTGCAGCACTAACCTATGTTCCTTGATTGCTTGTCAGTGATAAAAGCAAAAGAAGGACAAAAACAGTGAAGAAAACATTGGAACCCAAGTGGAATCAGACGTTTATTTATTCTCCAGTTCATCGGAGAGAATTTCGGGAAAGAATGTTGGAAATTACCCTGTGGGACCAAGCTCGGGTTCGAGAGGAAGAAAGTGAATTTTTAGGAGAGGTAACATACATACATGCACACACACACACATAGACCACACACAAGTGCTTATGTCCATAATATTCTCCTATTCTCATGCATGAACCTGTAAATAGTAAATGAGTACAAAAGTTTTCAAGCCGTTAATGTTTTTTTTCATAGATTCATAGAATGTTACGGCACAGAAGGAGGCCATTCGGCCCATCAAGTCTATGCTGGCTCTTTGACAGGGCAAGTCACTTTCACTAACCCCAATCACCAGCTTTCTCCCCATAAACCTGCAAACCTGTCTTCCCCAGATATCTATCCAGTTCTCTCTTAAAAGCTGTTATCGAATCGGACTTCACGACCCTTTCAGGCAGATCATTCCAAATTTGAACAACTCGCTAAGTGAAAAAATTTCTTCTAACCTCCCCTCTGCTTCTTTTGGTAGATATCTTAAGACTGTAACCTTCTCTGCTCTATTGGGAAAAGTCCTAACTTCTCCAGTCTGTCCTCATAGCTAAGGTTCCCCATTCCTGGTATCATTCTCGTGAATCTCGTGAATTTGGAGTCATGTAGCTCAGTGGTTAGAGCACTCGCTTTGCAAGCGAGAGACCTGAGTTCAATTCCAGGCAGGTCAGGGCGAAACCTTGGGCAAGTTTCCTTACTCCACACGCCTAATAATAATCCCTCCAAAAACCCCCAAAAAATAAATTGGTCATTTTCAATCTACGACTGTTTTGTGGGACATTGCTGTGCGCAATTGGCTGCCGCGTTCGCCCACAAATATACAGTCAATTCACTTTACAGTGTGTTCTGTGAAGTGCTTTGGGACGTCCTCCTGACGTGAAAAGCGCTATATCAAATGCAAGGATTATTATTATTATTATTATTATCTCCTCTGCACCCTTTCCAGTGCCTTAATGTCCTTCCTGAAGTAAGGTGCCCAGAACTGGACGCAATACCCCAGCTGAGGCCTAACCAGTGTTTTGTATAGATTAACCATAACCTCCCTACTCTTATACTCTATGCCCCTACTAATAAAGCTCAGTACACCAAATGCCTTTTTTACTACCCCGCTACCTTTAATGATTCGCTTACTTGAACACCCAGATCTCTCTGTACGTTCACCCCCCTTAAGATTGAGCTACCAAGTCTATATTGCCTCCTATCATTTTTCCTACCCAAGTGTATCACCTCACACTTATCCACATTGAAATCCATCTGCCACATGTCAGCCCATTCCACCATTCTGTGTATGTCTGCTTGTAGTTGGTTACAGTCTTCCTCACTATTTACTACCCTACCTAACTTTGTATCATCTGCAAATTTGGAAATAGTGCTCTCTATGCCCAAGTCCAGATCATTAATATATATTAGAAAGAGCAGTGGTCCCAATACCGATCCCTGGGGGACACCGCTGCACACCTCCTTCCATTTCGAGAAACACTCATTAACCACCACCCTCTGCTTTCTGTCACTCAGCCGGTTCTTAATCCAAACTGCCACTGTCCCCTTAATACCGTGGGCCTCTAATTTTTTTATTAATCTCTTATGCGGTACTGTGTCAAAAGCCTTTTTGAAATCCATGTAAATAATAATAATAACAATCCTTGCATTTGATATAGCGCTTTTCATGTGAGGAGGACGTCCCAAAGCGCTTCACAGAACACACTGTAAAGTGTATTGACTGTGTATTTGTGGGCGAACGCGGCAGCCAATTGCGCACAGCAATGTCCCACAAACAGTCGTAGATTAAAAATGACCAATTTTATTATTGTTTTTGGTTTTTTGGAGGGATTATTATTAGGCATGTGGAGTAAGGAAACTTGCCCAAGGTTTCACCCTGCCTGGAATTGAACTCAGGTCTCTTGCTTGCAAAGCGAGTGGTCTTACCACTGAGCTATAGGACTCCACGAGTAAATAGCGTTCACCGTATTTCCCTCATCAACCCTCGCAATCACCTCTTCACAAAATTCTATTAGATTTGTTAGGCAAGATTTGCCTTTAACAAATCCATGTAGGCTGTCTCTAATTACCTCATGTTCCTCTAAATAGAGATGTATTCTGTCCCGGATTATGGTCTCCAGTAGTTTTCCTATGACCGAAGTTAGGCTGACTGACCTGTAATTTCCGGGTTTGTCTTTCTGCCCCTTTTTGTAGAGTGGGGTAACATTAGCCACTCTCCAGTCTCTTGGCACAATGTTCAGATGTGGGGCTAAAATTTGCAGTGTTCCTTATATATCGCCAGTGTAAAACCACCAGGTGGCAGCACAAACCCAAATTAGTGGTTTCTTTCTTTTCAGGTTCTAAGCGCTTGTCATTGTTATTCCAAAGTATAGTGGATGACTTTTATTTTGTACAGTTCAAGTCCGTGTGCATGCATTTGGTGACATCATCTGCAGACATGGGGTAAATTTCCACATGTATGCGGATGACACTCAACTCTACCTCTCTGCCTCCACCCTGAACTCCAGGACTACTGAGGTCCTGACCAACTGCCTGTCCGACATCAAGTCCTAGACGAGGGCTAACTTTCTCCAACTCAACGTCAGCAAGAGACCGAGGCCCTCCTGATTGGCTCGCGCCAGTGCCTCTGCACCTCAGGCGCTGGCAGCATCAGTCTCCACGGCTGTACACTCAACCTCACTAAGCCAGTCAGGAACCTGGGTGTCTTGTTTGACCCTGAACTGTCCCTTCTCCCCCACATCCGTGCCATGACCGGCACTGCCTACTACCACCTCCGCAACATTGCCAGACTCCGCCACTGCCTCACCTCTCAGGCTGCCGAAACCCTCACCCACGCATTCGTCACCTCAAGCCTTGACTGCAGGAACTCCCTCCTCATCCTTCCGAACTTTTCCCTCACAAGCTGCAGATCATCCAAAACTCTGCAGCTTGTGCACTCTCACGCACCAGGCTCCGTGACCCCATCACTCCCACCCTCGCCGGACTCCACTGGCTCCTCATCCCCCAGAGGATCGAGTTCAAGATCCTCGTCCTCACCTTTAAGGCTTACCATGACCTTGTCTCCTCCTACCTCTCTGACCTGCTGACTCCCTACCAACCTGCCCGCTCCCTCCGTTCAGCGGGCTCCAGCCTGCTCCATGTCTCCCGCCCGACCCGCCCTACCATCGGTGGCCGGGCTTTCAGACTCTCTGACCCCACACTCTGGAACTCCATCCCACGGTCCTTTCGCCTCACTTCCTCCCGTGCCTCCTTCAAGACACGTTTCAAGACCCTTCTCTTCGACTGTGCCTTTGGTCTCCCTCCCACCTCTCTGCCTTCCCTCACCCCTACACCACCCCTCCCCCATGCTCGGGCTCCGACATCTGACTGTTCAGCGCTTTGGGATGTCCTCCCGACGTGAAAGGCGCTCTATAAATGCAGTTTTGTTTTTGTTGTTTATTGTCTCCATTGGATATCACTTTTCCAGTGTTGTCCTACTGAGAAGGGCTGAAAGCTGCACTTGGCCAGAATTCAACACAACAATCAATCAAGTGAAGTTTTGTTGGTGGAGAAGATGAATTTTGTAGATTAACTTGGGTTGGGGTGTGGGGATGGGATGATGATGACGACTAACAAAAAACACTAAATTAGAGCCCAAGGGGTAAGACTAGAAAATGCATAACCAACATTGTCCTCCTTAGATTTGATAAAAGGCAGATGCTGGGACCTGAAAGCATTTATTTGGAGGGGTGTGCTGCCACCTGCTGGTTTAGTGTTCAATAAGGAATACCGCAAATTTTACCCATAGAATGTAACTTGCCTTATTTAGTTTGTTTGAAATATCTTTTCATGCTGATATATTCTCCATATTAGAAATAATTCACTTTCAAATGAAAATGGCAAGATTTAAAATAAATTCTCGTCCATGTTTTAAACTGTTGACCTACAGGGAGTCATTTGCTCATCACCAAGGAATCTTATTCTTTCCTCACAAAACACACAGTCACTGCACTTCACAATATATCCTCAAAAATGCTTTGAGCTTTCCTACTGACCAGAAAGGCACAACACCAAAAGTAAGGATTATTATTTTCCCTTTATCCTGTAAAGTAACACTCAGCCAATTAGTCCACCTGGACAAAATAACTCAAATTTTATGCTTAAAATTCAGGCGATGTTGGACCTCCTTGAATCCAAAGTTGAGAGAATTCACTCAGCTGCCTCTGCCATTGCATCTGCTACCCCCTCCCTATCTCCTCCTCCCACCCCGGCCCCTTCCCATCCCTCCCTCCACACCTTTGATCTTGTCTCCTCCTCCTCTCATCACCACCAAAACACGTATGAAACCTCCCACCTGCTCCCTCGACCCCATCCCTACCCCGCTCCTTACCTCCCAGCTCCATCTCCTTGCCCCTCTACTCACTGACATTGTTAACCTCTCCCTGTCCTCTAGTACTGTTCCCACCCCATTAAAAAATGCTGCCCTCACTGCTTAAAAACCCCTCCCTGGACCCTTCTCTACTCTTTAACTATCGCCCCATCTCCAACCTCCCCTTCCTCTCCAAGGTCCTGGAACAAGTTGTTGCTTCTCAGCTTCGCTCCTTCTTCTCCTGCCACTTCCTTCTCAAACCCCTCCAATCGGGTTTCCGTGTCGCCCACAGCACAGAAACAGCCCTGGGCAAAGTGACAAATGACCTTCTGTCCATCTGCGACCAGGGCTCCCTCTGCTTCCTCATCCTCCTTGACCTCTCTGCTGCTTTTGACACCTTTGACCACTCTATCCTCATCCACCACCTCTCCTCTCACCTCAACCTCCACGGCGCTGTCCTTGATCGGCTCTGTCCTTCAGGCGCTGCCAGCATCACCATCCATGGATACACACTCCACCTTGCTAAGCCAGTCCGGAACCTTGGGGTCTTGTTTGACCCTCAACTATCCTTTCTACCTCACATCTGCGCCATGACCCGCTCTGCCTTCCCCCACCTCCGCAACGTCACTCAGCTCCGACACTGTCTCACACCACAGGCCAGCGAAACCTTCATACACACCTTCATTTACATCAACACTCGACTATGCAAACTCACTGCTTGTTGGCCTCCCCAACTCCTCCCTCCACAGGCTGCAGATCAGCCAGAACTCTGCAGCCCTTATCCTCTCCTGCACTAGGCTCCGCGACCCTATCACCCCCATCCTTGCCCAACTCCACTGGCTTCCCATCACACAGAGGATACAGTTCAAGATCCTCACTTTCAAAACCCTGCACGGTCTTGCTCCCTCCTACCTCTCCGACCTCCTAACCCCCTACCACCCTGTTCGCTCCCTCCACTCAGCGGGCTCCGGCCTGCTTCACGTCCACCACCTTACTCTCCCCACTAATGGTAGGTGGGCCTTCTGCCACTCTGCCCCCACCCTCTGGAACTCCATCCCCCAGTCCCTCCGTCTCGCCCCCTCCCTCGCCACCTTCAAGACCCACCTCAAGACCTTCCTCTTTGACCATGCTTTCAATGTCCCTGCTTCCCCCCCTGCCCTCCACTCTCCCCCACTACGACCCCCAGCTTGGGTCTATAACTCTGTTTGTCCAGCGCCTTGGGACGTCCTCCCGACATGAAAGGCGCTACACAAATGTAATTTTGTTGTTGTTGTTAACCTGTGGTACTGGGCATATCAGTTCAAATGCAGTTCAAGTGTTGGCACTGAGGGTAAAAATTGCCTTGCTATTAATACCATATGCTGGCCAGTAAATATATCAGTGAACATTGATGGATGGTCAACCTTCTTTGCCTTCCAATGTAAATGATTGCACCAGCACTGTTTTGCGATTCTCATGTCTTTAGGCACTAAAAGCCTATTAGACTATTATGTCTTAAAATTTAAGATGGCATAAAATGGTGGAAGATTAATCTGCTTTACCTTTCTCTGAACCGTAGAACACAATTCTGCAGTTATTTGACACCACAGTGTAAATTATAATAAATTACAGGTTTATTACAGGCTGAAGTCTACCTTATTTGGGTTCTTTGCTCAAGCAAGACAATTTTTAAACTTAAAAAATGTAAGCCCTTTGCTTGTGCTCAGCCTGTTGTCATTTCTTTTTGTTTTATTTGCTTTGTCATTGCACTTTTTAAAAATTCCTAACTTGATTTGTGCTTTTTTTCTCGGGTTCTACCCAGTTCAAATCTTTTTGTCTTCTTTTCCTCTTCTGCCTCCCTGTTCCCAAACCATCACCTAATTTGGAACAACTGTTTTCAAAATGTTTATTCACTGGTTAAAAATCATCAGTATTTTTGCAGCCAATGCAGCAACTTTATCTGTCCTTGAGACAAGAGTCACTTCAAAACAAGGAATTAAAACCTTATTTGCGTTCCAATTTTCTAAACCCTTAATAATTTTAGATTTAAATCTCTCTCAAACTTCTCTTTTCAATAGAGAAAGCTCTAAGAAAGGGTGATTAATATTTCCCCATAGCTCTGCCCCTCAGTTCTGGGATTAATCCTGTAGCCCTCCAAGCAGTACATTTCCCAGGACAACCAATGTGTAAATAAATATACAATATGTTATTTTAAGTGTATGAGACAATTACTATTATGTAGTGAATAACGGCTACTGGGGAGTACATTACTCGACCATCATTTTAGCGAATTACACAGGTAATATTATAAACCACAAGATGAAGTCCAAGCAGTTTTCACATGCATGTAAAATCCTAGATAGGACAATATCCTCACAACTCACTCACTACAGTGGTTTGTTTTGTACAGTACAAATTTGTTTGTGCTATTTAGCGAGTTTTACTGAGCTCCATTTCTCACTGGCTACCTCTCATGTTGGGAGGATGTCCCAGCAGCGTGGGATGTCCTCCCAACCCGAAAGCTGCTATACAATGTAATTAGTTGTTGTGAAGTAGTCAGTTTTGGATGGTAAGAAACATTGTTTTAAATATTGAATTGGAACAAATTATGCAAAGAAACTGCAAGGCATTTACTGTGTTTTCAGTAATTTGAGGTTTAGAATCCATTCCCTTGACACTTGGCAGGTGTATTATGTGAGTTGTGTAAACACAAATTTACAGAATTATATAACCAACAACAGAGGAGAAAGATTCATTAATAATGTAATTCACCAATTCTTCTTCTGATTGAGTTAACTATATAATTAAAATAATGTATAACTCATCTGTGTGAATGTGTTCACATGTGGGCCAAACGTGCCTTTAGTCACATGTAAATTGTACAAACCAATAGACCCATAATAGCTTTGTCTGCAGTATCAGACCATTGTGTTTTTAGGAGATGTTTGAGAATAACGTGTACAGTTCAGTACACACTGATAGAGGAAAGATGATGAAGCCCGATGGGTTGCAATTTATATCCCACAAGGGTTGACCAGATAACATAAATAATAATAATACTTTTATTTGATATAGCTCCTTATCATGTCTTTGAGATGTGTCAAAGCGCTTCACAGGACATACTGAAAAGTGAATTGATTGTATATTTTGTATAGCAAAATGTGGCAGCCGATTGCTCACAGCAGTGTCCCACAAACATTTGTGGATTGAGTGACCAAATTATTATTATTTATTTATTTTTGAAGGGATTATTATCCCAGAAAAGCGATCCGTCAGTCGACTAACAACCGGGTTCCTACTTGCTGTTAGGCAAACAGACGTATGGAGTAAGGAAACCTGCCCAACATTTCAACGTGCCCGGGAATCAAACCCAGATCCTCTTGCTTGCGAGATGAGTGCTCATACAAGTCACACTTACTTACGTACTTACGTACGTACGTATACTTGCTTGCTTACTTACTGCCAAGCCACTTGAGAGATGCAGATTGCATCTCGCTACTCCTCATCAGAAGCCTAAATCTTTCATGGTCTTAGCCTTAAGATCTCTTTGTCTTAAAAAGATTGTGCAGTACGTTGAAAAATTCATAAATTAAAATAGTAATAATAACAATCTGCGTGTTTGATTAAGTGCCTTTTAACATTATCAAAGTGCCTCAAAGCGAATTCATACTAAAGTGTTTGGAAGCAGGTTCTTTTTAAGGACTGCAGAAAATCGGCTTTCAAATTAAATTTAAGAATTTTTAAAAATTCTGAACAATCTTAAATTGCAAGTTATTTGTCTTAAGGCTACGATCATGGAACATTTCAAACCTTTTACGTTCTGTTTGTACCGCACAAAAGGGTAATTAGGCATCAGATAAAGATGTGCTTGTTTTAACTGCAAATAACATTGGTTTGATGTTGAAGTGACTGTAAATTCCTTTTAACAATGTGCTATAAAACAGATGGTGTTCACTAAAACAAACCTTCATTATGCGCTTATAGTGGAATTTCTCATTAAAATGTGGAACACAAAGTTTACTCAAATTAGTGTTCAATTATAAGGTTGTGGACTCAAGTACCTTGTCGGGACTTTAAACTCATAGTCTAGGCTGGCATTGATTCCCTTGCAGTGCTGAGGGTGTGCTTAACTGTTGGAGGTACCATGCATCGATGGGACATTAATCAAGATTGCATCTGCCTGTTCAGATAGACGTTTAAGATCCTGGTGACCTGCCAATATTCTGCCAAATAAAATTGGTCATTCACTTCATTGACTGTTTGTGGGACATTGCTCTGAGTAAATTGACTGCCATACTGGCTTACAAAATACACATTATACTTCACATTAAAGTCCTGTGAAATGTTTTGAGACGTCTTGACAATGTGCTAAGGCGCTATCAAATGAAAGGACTATAGTTAAGGCTTATTATAACCAAGCAATAGTTCATGTCTTCGAGATGTGTCAAAGTGCAGATATCTTCTTCATCTGAGGTAGAAATGCTTTTATCTGTCAAAGATGCTAAAAAGGATAATTGTTGCGCATTTGAAATATTGCATCGATCTGTAAATTTTCTAGATTTATTTCTATTCAATGCTAGTGTCATACATCTCTGTCTATCACCTATCTTCCCGTTACAGATTCTTATAGAATTGGAAACTGCTCTGCTGGATGATGAACCACACTGGTACAAACTACAAACACATGACGTTTCATCAATGCCACTTCCTCAACCTTCACCGTATACCCCACGTAGACACCTGCACGGTGAAAGTCCAACTCGGAGGTTACAAAGTATGTCCACAGTTCATGCATTCATTTTTTTTCCCCCTAAAGATGGCGAGTATGAACACAACTTACTTTGTCTGAATTCTAGACAAGTTCTAGAGTAATGTCTAATGCTTAAACATTAAAGATTAAGGGTCTGGAGCTCTAGCTTATCCAGTGAATTGAGCAGGAAGGTTCCAAAGGGAAGTAGGGAGACAGTTAGGTGCTTTCAAATGTAATAGTGACCTAGCTAGAGGTACACAAATGTGGATGCTGTTCTCGACTGTGAATCTCCTATAGCCGAATATCCTGCCAACATTCACTGTCTGGTCTTGTACATGCGTAATGGCAACTTGAACAAGGTGCCAAAGGATGAACTGGACTCATGGAGGCATAGGACGGAAAAGTGGCAAGGATTTTCTTTTTTTTGCGAAGCATCAAAGAACCCCCCCCCCCCATCACTTTGGAGAATGAGGATTAAAACAATCCTCACACCTTAAGTTGATCATTTGGTAAATTATGTTTTCAACATAATTTGTAGAATAGAATCCTAAAACGCTTGTGGCATGGAAGGTGACGATTTAGCCCACCATGTCTGTGCGAGCACTTGCTCCCCCACTGGAGCCATGTTCTCTTATCCCACTCTCACTAGTGTTTCCTGAAACATTTAAATATTTATCCAATTACTTTTTAAATGCTATTTAGGACTCAGTTTCATCAGCCATTTGTGTAAAAGAATCCACATGATAATATTCCTTTGTTCGTTTATAACAAAAAAGCTTCTAGCCTCACCCTTTTAATTTTGGCGATAATGTTCAATTTATGTCCTCTCATTGTGCATGTGCTGGAAAGAATCAATGCTTCAAGGCCATGTCATAATTTCTGATGTTACACAGTGATAATAGTTACCTAGAGGAATATTGTTCAAATGAATTTTATGATGGTGAATGGATTAACATGTCAAGATGAATTGTTACTTTGTTCTGATCTGGATGGTTGATGTTATTACTTTACAGCATATTGCTGATTTTTTTTGCAGAGCTCTAATGTTCAGCTGAAGCATAAAGAGTATCTTGTTGCTCTCGGTGTGAGGCAAAGCATCATTACCCATAGAGATTAGAACCATGGCATGACATTACAAGTTATTTTGTTCAATTCCATGCAATTGGCAGAATCGTGAAATCCTAATTTGGATTTTCGTCAATTGCGGCACTTCCACTTCACTACTCCTGATATTGTGTTGGGATACGAAGAGAAACACAGGGTGCATGCAGTTAAATGGGCCGTTAATAAGTGGTTGGAGGCTAAGTTTGTACCGACATACTATAAACCAGGAAGGCCACAGATTTGATGCCTAATTTGTGTTGAACTGGCTGTGGTCAGCCAAGACACTGGCTGAAGAACTACAATTGGCCTCAGTTTTCTGTCCCTAGGCGAGGATCAGTAAAAATCAGATAAGAATCCTGTTTTTAATCTCTAATCAGTGAACCCATTTAGAGTGTTTATCACTAATGGGTGAGGACAGAACTGAGCTAGATTGTGATTATCTTCACGGTCACACTAACCACTGATGCTCATGGTCTAGACAGTGCCAAATATGGGAGAGAAACTGAAAAACAGCAGGCTCCCACAGGATAAGAGAGCAGGGGCAGAGAAATCAGCTATCTTTTTAAAAAAATGGGCTGGGAGCGTGACATAATGGATATTAATGAAATTTGCGTTAGATTGCTACAGAGGATATTTGCTTTGCATGAATATAGAATGCAATCATAAGCTCCCATTTCCCAATATCTGTCACATTCCTTGTGCAGGCTAGTGGTTCAGTGAAGGTGGGTAACACTTGCATCCTTCTCACAGCCAGTTCGGAGTGGATTGGTACAAGCAAGTCTTCCACCGTTGTCCTCATCCTTATCCTCCCTGCCAGTGTTGGCCTGTGGTATGGACAGCACTGAACTAAAGTCCGTGAACTGGGGCAAAACTATTCTTAGTGATGATTTCATTTTCCTACGTCTACCCCTCCTACCTTTATTGCACATAAAAGAAGATATTCAGATCAAAATAGTCACTCTGTTTTGTAAGAGTCACACTGTAGGGCTGAGACTATTTTACAGTTAAAAGCATAGTGACTGAGACTACTCCTTGTTTATATACTAACATTGAATATTCCACTGCCATTTTAATTTTTTAAATAAATAATCAGCGGTCTGAAAAGGTGAAAGGAAAATATGCAAAAAGCCTATAAATTTCACAAAAAATATTGTTCAAGCTGCCCTGAAAGTGTGAATTTTCAAAAAAAAAGAAAATTTATTCTGCATTATTTATATCCCAGGTTTATCCATTCCACTAGCTCCCCATCCCAAAGAGGAGAGAGTTCAAAATCCTCATCCTCACCTTCAAGGCTCTCTATTGCCTGCCCCTCCTACCTTTGTGATCTGCTAACCCCATATCAACCCAGTCTGCTTTCTCTGCTCAGCAGGCTCTGGCCTGCTCTACATCCCACGCCCGTCCACCCCACCATCACCAGTCGGGCCTTTTGCCTCTGCCCCTACCCTTTGGAACTCCATTCCACATTCTCTTCGCCTCGCTCCCACCCTTGCCTTCTTCAAGGCATGTCCCCCCCACTCCCCCCCCCCCCCCCCCCCCGGGGTCCAAATTGATGACTGTCCAGCACATTGGGACGTCCTCTTGATGTGAAAGGCACTATACAAATGTAACTTTGTATTGTATGCTGCTACAGCAATATTTCCTTTAAAGTACATGATTCAGCTAAATGATTTCAACAACTGGAAAGCCTGTATTTCCACATAAAACAACAGAGTGACCAATAAAACAGTTAGTAGATAGGACAGAGATGAGCACAAGTCAACAGGGGCAGTTCGAGATCTTGTGTTTTTTGATTAGCTCAACTAGTTTTAACAATATAAGTTTTAATTTTGCTTTAATGCCTGCTCTGGTAGCTAAATGATTACTTGATGGTAATTATCTACTCAGAAATAACCAGCTTGTGTGAATCCAGCATTGGTTATATCTGTTAACAAACTAGGCATATTTACTGTTCATTTCCATTATTTGCTTATTTTCATCAGTGTTGTTCCATTCTGATATTTATTTTCCAGATACAGTACCATATTCGTTATACTCAGGTAAATGCTTAGAATTCCTCCGTGGTTTTAGAGAGAGAAAATAACACGTGTTGGTGTGTTAGAAATGAGCATCAGAACGTGATTGTTGCAGAGTGTTCTGGCTGTGCATGTAGAGAGATGCTGAGGTACATACATGATCAACTTCACATCCTATTACACAAGCTTCATCTCATCTCTCTCCTGAATGCCTTTTTTTCCCTGTCTCCCTTAACATTACTTCAAAATGATTGTTTCATCAATCACTCCTTGATTATATTCCTGTGCTTGATAGTGATCTTTTTCACAGATTTTGGAACAGGGCTTGAAACTGTATAATGACTCTATTAGCCTTTCACAGTATTACTCTAACAGATTCAGCACTTGTCTTTTTATGCTTTACAAGTAAGCAAACAAACAAAATGTGCAACTGGCTGGAGAGCCTTGCATAGAAATCACTAGTGCGTCCTGTGTCTTCATTTGCAAAACAATTTTTTAGATTTCATTGAGACCTAAAGTAGACTTATGTATATAGAAAATGTGCTTGTTATATTACTGCAAGTTGCAGTCTTTTTCAAAGGGATGGGATGGAATTGGAATTGCAGGTTATTCCCTTGCAGGACTCCAGCTGCTAACAAGGTTATTCTTGCTAATAATAACTCACTAGTCATTGCTGTTCTACAGTAGCTTATGTTGCACAAGATGCAGCCATGACCCACACTAATTCTAGACTTTGCTGGATTCATGAATTTCCAATTTGCATATCTCATACAGATCTAACAATCTGACATTCCCAAAAAAGGACAAGGACACCTTCAGGAAAGAAGAGCATTGGAAATGCAACATTTGCAGAGTGTTTTTTTTAAAATAATTAAGTGTAGTGGTAACCTATATCTGTCACAGACTCTATAACGGACACCCTGAAGTTGAATAGTTGTTATAGTATTTTTAGCTTAGGAAAAAAATTGGTGCAAAATAAACACTGTCATTCAACTATTTTATTAGGTGGGGGAATAGTATCCATTTCTTAGTTGAATCAGTAAGTTACATTTTTCTACAATAAATTTAAATAAAAAGCTATTTGTTTCCATCCTATTTTTCTCTAAATTTAAATAAAGTAAACCTATTTTGTTTAACTAAATTAGGCTACATTTCTATAAAAGTTAAAACCATATACATAATCTATTTACAATGTAACTTTCCTTCTATCCAGTTTAGTCCAGTTTAAAAACACATATTGTTTATAGTTGAGTGAGATTGTTATATTGTTACCTTGTAAAGACCTTTTAAATAGAATTGGGACATCCTTGAGGGAGCTCCTCTTTCATATAAAAAATTCCCCTTGTCCAGCACCGTGATATTAGAATAGCCAATCTCACATTGTAGGACCAGTTTCTGTCACTTTCTAATATGCCACTAAACAATAATATGTTTTTTATTACACGATACATACAGAGTATTGTAATGTATGTGATTTCATTATTTTCAATAAATGATTTCATGGAAGTAGCAACTTCATACTTGGCCTCTGGATGAGCTATCATCTTATAGAACAGAATAGAATCACTCAAATGGGTATAGCTAAATACCTGGGAAGTAAAAATATTAAGCAATGTTGGATGGTCGGTTTCATTAAAACAGGTGATTTAAACAAGTTTAAACATCATGGGATAATTGGCTTCCTTCCATGCTAACATTTTCTTTGCATTTATTGAGTCTTAGCACTAGCACAGAATTAGTTAGGTTCAAGTGGGATTTAGTGGGATGCAGATCTGGCATCTTGGCAGAAGTGAGATGAAATGGGATCTTATGCAAAAATGTAAACAAGGGGAACTGATGAACTGAAGGATGTGTTGAGTACCTGCAGACACTGCAGCAAAGACCCCAATATCCCCCAGTCTAGTACTGTGCTTTCAATTGCCAATCCATCAAATCCCTGGAAGAGATTAAAACACTTCTGCTTTGCTCATGATTTGGGAAGACAACACACGGCATATATAACAGAAAATGTAACAGTAGTCGTTTCCAATAAAAAGCCTACAAATCTGTATTAAGCCAGTCACAATATTTCCCCCCTGACTCTGCAAACATTTCCATCGCGAAAACTTAAAAATAAATAAGACAATACTAGGCTTAGAGCAATTGGGACATAATTAAAAAGGGCAATCAATCCCTCTACAGAATTGAATCCAGAAATTGACTGCAGTGAGCATAGGGGAGATAAGCATGCTATAGATATACAGTAGATGAGAATTAGATTGCTTCTGCTTTCCTTTGATATTGTAAATACATGTACATAGAAAACAGTAGCTAATAGAGCTTATAAACCTGCTTTCTGGTCTAATAAATATCTTGTTTTTCTGTAAAGTCATTTATAATTCTTTTACGTGTGTGCATGTTGTGAAGTGGAAAGAAATGTATTTAATGGCTACAAGATTCCAATCTGGAAAATGAGCAAAACATACTTAAAAATCTGTATCTTTTGACTTCAGGATCACAACGCATCAGTGACAGTGAAGTGTCTGACTACGACTGTGATGATGGTGTTGGGGTTGTTCCTTCAGGTAAGAAGAGCTTCACACAGCAAACATGCTTTTATTTAAACCTGCCTCTTTGACCATACCCATGGTCACCTACCTCATGCTCCCTTGCTTGGTGTTCAACCATGCCACTGTGAAACTCTGAAATATTATCCTCATGATTAACATCTGAGTTGAGTTCTGTGGGACCCAAATCCAGAACCAATGAAAAGCTATTAGCCAAATATGTAATAATAATTTTCCTTCCATTTGATATAATGCTTTATCACATTTCCATGAAGTCTCAAATCAATTCACAGGATTTATTGGAGTGAAGAATACAACATTCCATTAAATAATTATTGCCAATGATAATTATCACCATCAAATGGCAGATATTTTACTCTGTTGATCCACATGACTTTGCATGTATCATAAAAACTCTGTTAAGGTAGTTAGTAGGTTGGCTATTTCGCCATTTCAGTGAGGTGCCCCTCATTAGTGAGTTTAAGATTTTGGTCACTGTCAGTTTCAAATAACCGGAAAGATATCCTGGTAACATATTGCCCTCATTACTGAGGTGTCCACAAGCATGAGGAGCTGCCATATATAGGGAGTTTATCTCGGTGTCCTGGCCAAAAATCCTTCACAGAGAATTGTCCATTCACTTCATAGCTGATTTTAGCCATTACATTGCTATAGAAAATTGGCTATCATGTTTGCCTGCAAAATACAGAGCCACGACACTTTACTGCACTACACAGTGAATTCTGTGAAGTACTTTCAGATGTTCTCCCCACGTGGAAGACTATTATTATTATTCTATAGATTATAATCATTTTGAATAGTGAACCTGTGGAACAGGCTCCCTAGGTCTCCCTTGAAGCAGGAAGTGTTGATTCTTTCAATCACAGATTAGATGGTTTTCTTTTAGGAAATAACATTATGGGATATAGTACATAGGTAGTTTGGGACACATGTGCATGCGACTGTCAGGAAGGCGAACTAGATGGACTTTGGTCTTTTTTCGTCTAGCATTTCTTAGGTTCTTATTTCTTTGAAATTTGTGCTGTTGAATCATAGGAGTTAAGTTTGCAATATGTGATGATAATAATTAATACTGGTGATGACTGTAACAAGAGACAAATTTTGTGATTTTGTACCTAGTACTTGATGATTGGTGGAAGCTAAATACCCCTCCGTCTTCTGGTGGTGGTTTCTCCCACCAACCTGTTCAGCAGTGTCTTGTGTTATTTTTTTAAAACATGTTTTGGTTTGAATTGTAGCTGCTGGAACGTTTGTTAACTTCAACTTTTTAGTTTCATAGTTATTTTTAGTACCTGGTGAAGATGCTTGAATACCCTGTGGAGTCCTGTAGCTCAGTGTAGACCACTTGTCTCGCAAGCAAGATGACCTGGGTTTGACTCCCAGGCAGGGCAAAACAAAACGTTAGGCAAATTTACCTAGCAGTAAGTAGGAACCTGGTTGTTAGTTGATTAGCCGATCGCTTTCCGGGAATAATAATCCCTTTTTAAAAAAAAGAAAAATTAAGAAATAATTATCTGGTCACTCAATCCACGACTGTTTGGGGTCACTGCTGTGACCCCACAAAATATACAGGCAATTCATTTTGTGGTACATTCTGTGAAGTGCTTTGAGACATCTCGAGGATGTGATAAGTCGCTATATCAAATGCAAGGATTATTATTATGTAAAGCATGCTCTTTCCAGGCCCAATTTAAGAATTTTCAGATCTGACACACACTTACTGGGTTATCATCATTATCATCATCGGGCACACACATACTGCAAAAGCATGGTAACATAGAATATGTTTGAAGTGAAATCCTGAGTTGTATCAACTATAGAACTGACGAGGCGTTTTGATATTTTATAAGAACCAAGTCTAAAACCTCTTTTGTGTACATTTTGTTTTTATTGTGTATTAATTTTGTATTTTTTTCGTATTGTATTTCTGACTTCAGATTATAGGCACAATGGGAGAGACATCCAGAGTTCAACGTTATCTGTTCCAGAGCAGGTCATGTCATCAAACCATTGTTCACAGCCATTGCATCGAGGTAGCAGCATGGGAAGGAACCGTTCCCGGTCCCCCAGTGTCCCTCCTCCTCAAAGGTATGATTATAAACACTGATCTATGCATTTCTATGAAACCTCTGATGTCATACTCTGGCTGTACAATCTCCAGTAATGCACAATACTGCATACAGTTCTGGTTACTGCGACGAAAGAGGGCTGCCTAAGCCCTAGAGGCGGTGCGGAGGAGAGCAATGAAGATCATTCCCAGAGTTAGAGGAATGAGCTATGAGCAACACGAGACAAGCTAGGGCTCTTCAGTCTTGAACGAAGATGATTCAGAGGGACCTTATAGATGTATATGAAATGTTAACTGACATTGAAAAAGTAAACACAGATCAATACTTCAGGATGTATCAAGACAGTAGGACAAAAGGACTTAGGTTTAGAGTTGTAAAGGGCATTTCAGGACAGACACCAAGAAGTTTGTGTTTACACAGAGGGTAATGAAAAACTGGAACACATTGCAAAGAAAGTTGTTAGAAGCCAGGACTTATTTAAAAAGCAACTTGAGCAGCGATGGGGGTAGGTGTTCTGGAGGATGATATCGGATGGACTGAAGGGCCTTCTTTACCCAGACCAATCTTGTGATCTGGTGATACACATAGAAGTCAGGCTTACATCCTGGCAACATATGTGTTGCGAGTCGAGTCATTGCACACCAGCACATCTCTACTGTTCTATGGGCTCTTTGCCCAGCACAGAGCATGTGGTTTTAATGGACCAGTAGCACTTGGAACGAGCCCAAAACTCATTGCACCTGTCACCTTCATCAGCCAACAGCAACAAAAGATCTTTATCTATTATAATCACCTTCAGAATAGAGATAATGTGCAAGGATAAAGTATAGCTATAACTATTTTATTGCAGACAAGCTTTAAATTGAAACACTTAAACATTTTGGAGGCACCTATTTCATCATCTTTAGGATAGTCATTAGAGAGTGGCCAAACTTTACTATCTTTAACCATGTTGAATGTTGTTTAATGGAGCTCTGTGCTCAGAGCTTAGTTGCTCGTGTGCAGAATGCTCCCTTCCTTGAGCAAGTCATATCTGAGAGTATTTTTGTAGCCTATTTACACAGTGCTCAAACTGAAGATGGCTACTTGACTGAAATTAGCTGGTGACACAGAACCCTACTCCTTCACATGTCAGTGCCTTCAGGAGAGGATCTGAGAAATTCAAGAGTGAGAAAGAAATCAGATTCAAGTTGTCCTAACGTTTATTAAATTATAAGAGCCTAATCATATTGCGTAATTAGTTTAGAAGGTATGTGTTTATTTTGTGCTCAGATTATTTTCAGTTCCTCCCCAATACTGGGTTTGCTCTGTTGTATCATTACAAATGGCATTGAAAATAAGCAGTAAACTGATGCTTGTGAAATTATTAGCCAATGTGCCTGAGGTAATAACAACATGTAGTTTAAAGAGAGGAGGTATGCACTCTTCTAATACTACAAAGCTCACATCAGTGATTAATTTAGGATTCAGGCATATTGGAGAGGATAATTTCACACCTCATTATATGTTAAATTCTTTGGATTTGTTTGGTAATGAGGTGTAATTTGCGGTATTTATTACCAGAATATGTGTAATGGTCAAGCTTCTAAAATGTCGAATATGCTGAAGAATGCAGCTGGGTGTTTTGGAAATACTTGCTTCTTATCAAGAAAGTTCTTGCAAAATATTGCAAATTGCACTCCAGTTTATTAGCCCACTCTTAGTATTGCTACTGTATTGATTTGTGTTTTGTAGAAGTTCAGAACCTGGTCCTCGAGGCAGTCGCACTTCCATACAGTACAATACCATGAGCCGAATGGAGAGACACAGAATGACGGATGACCATTACTCTCCAGAAAGGGAGAGGTAATTAGAAATTATTATTTCTTTGTTGCTTTGAGGAAAGCTAGTTGCAATACTTTAAATGAATAACCACTGCAATATGAGTTTGGTTACTGTTAAAGATGTTGACACCAGTAGCCTCCTACAGATGTCATTGCTCATGCTTCCATCCTCTGAGGGATCATTTTTCATAGAACGATTCAAAATAAGTGTGAATAAATTTGTGATATGAAGCACCAGAAAGTAGAAACAAAGAAATTTGCTCCGTCACAGGACAAATTCTTGATGAACATTATTCTCAGAGTGAATGTTTTGAAAGAGCCTTGTTAAGCATACATGATTTTGAAGTCGAAATGCAGTCACAGTTGGTTCTCAATTAATTATTGGTAAGCAACTTTATATAAAATAATAGAATGGATGAGCTGCTTAGAAATAAAAAAAGTATGGCTTTGACTCTTTATCATATACAGGATTTAAATTTAAATTGTGGCAATCCAGACTGATGTAAAGTCTATGCCCACATTTGTTGCCTTGATTTTGAGATTACCACTGAATTCAGCATTCATTATAATGTCTCAATCATTCAGGGTTTTTTTAAGATTAGAGCATCATTAATGCAGAAAGATACTGAATTTAGTTTTGTTGCCATGATTGTTTGTTTGCAGGGATTCAGAAAGGTGTGCTAATATCAATTGTGCTCTGTAATCAATTTCAGATGTCATTTTCCAGTTCAGGGAAGGTGCTGTGCACACAAAATAGTGGATTTGGTGTTCCTTCTCAAACCATTATTCAAAACAGTAATTGATTAATACTGTTAGTTTAGGCAAAAGTCAGCATTCTCAAGACAGGTGCTGCTGGTTGATTTACTGCTCCTCTTAAAACATTTGACTAAATTGCCCATTTCCAATCTACTAGTGTTGTAAAAGCATTTGCTGCGCAAGGAGTTACTATGGGCCCCTCGCAGACACTCTTTTTACTGGCCCAAGTATTCCCTTTTTTGCCCTTTTTCATCCCTTGAGATGAAGCCTCGGCTGATTTCTGTTTTCCACCCTTATTCTAAGACTCTTTGAATTTCTCCAGTTGCATCTCACCTATTGCAAACTAAAGTGCCTTCTTTAGTTTCTGGTGCTTTGCCCATTGACACTCCCAATATTTTAGTAACATAACCAACCCATTGTCTTCCCTCCAATCTCTAATTTGTAGTGCCACAGTGTGATGAAATGCAGCTTTGTGTCCAAGCAAGGTTTATTATTATTCTCACATGGAGAGAATTGGAGCAGGTCCCAAGCAAAGCTCAGGAAGCTTCCCAGAGCAAGAAAGGGGAAGCCAATGCCTAGGCCATTGTGACTGACTGTACAAGATATATTGATTTTGTCTGGGAAAATATCTCTCAAAATCCATCATATCAATGGGGAAAGGTGCATGGCATGAGAATGCCACAGAGAGAAAGTAATAAATTATCAAATAAATGTCAGTCATTTATCTCCCCCCCTCAATATCAGCCCGTAATAGGCAGATTCCTGCAGAGTGGTCTTTGCTGCGCTTGAATATGTGTAAGATGATGTTTATTGGGTTGGTGCTGTCACTTATATCAATTCTATGTTTGAAACACTTCCTAGGATTTACAGAAGTTATGCTTCTCTCGGAAGATTATAGTAGCTGTGCTTCAGGTTTGTTGGACATGGTGGCCACAGTGGTAATTTGAAGCAGGGCACTCATAATCTGCCTTGGTTGATGTAAAATGCCTCCCCTGTTATTTATAGAGTGAGGATGCTGGGTCAGTCATGTAATGTACAATAAGACAAGATTCATTCCTCACCAAAATGAACTTTCGTCGTAAAGAACTAATTGTTCCAAGCTGCTAGATTGCTTTCCCTAATATCTTGTTCTGCAGTATTCAAGCTCCTCTTTTCTATGAATTAGAGACAATAACCAATATCACACACGCTATTCATCATATTTCTCTCCATTTCTTCTCTTTTCTGCTCCCTGGTGATGCTGACCTCTATCCCCCTTTCTTCAAATGCCATACATTTGTAATTTCCATTACCCTCACATCGCTGCAGTCAGTATCTCACACTACCTCGATCCAGACAAAGTCATGCCATCGAACATCATCACAAGGAATCCAGGTATACTGTTATATGAGTATGCTGCTGTGTGGTTTTTGTTGTGTGAGGTTGTGTGACTATGTGTGCATGTTAGGAGCTACAATGAGGGATGAGCACCTGGGTAAAGTCGGATTTCAGATTCAGAGACTCCAGACTTTGGTTCTTCCAGATTCAAGTCCAAGTTTGGCGACTGCCAAAAAGGAGAAACAAATTCCACTGCACTGTCAGGGTTACAATGCTCTTCTGAATTTACCGCCACAGATTCATTGTGAGACAAACTACCAAAATCTCAGACATCCACTACACCCTAGAATGATAAGAGGCTCAAGTCAGACACAAATTCTCCAGTAACCTTAATACATGCTCCCCACTGAACTCACCACCAGCACCTCAGAGACATTTTCCATTAGGTTTGTTGTTAAGTCTTCAGTGTTTTCACTTAGAAAAATATGGGTTGATAAAGGACAGGCAACATGGATTTGTTAATGGCAAATTGTGACTAACAAACCTGAAAGAGTTTTTTGATGAAGTAACGGAGAGAGTGGATGAAGGTAGTGCAGTTGATGTAGTTTATATGGATTTTCAAAAGGCATTTGATAAAGTGCCACATAAGAGACTTGTAAGCAAAATAGAAGCCCACGGTATTAAAGGGACAGTGGCAGCATGGATACAGAACTGGCTGGGATACAAAAAGGAGAGAGTGGTGGTGAATGGTTGTTTTCTGACTGGAGGGAAATGTGCAGTGGTGTCCTCCAGGGCATTGGGACCATTGCTGTTTTTGATCTATTTAAATGACCTGGATTTGAGTATAGGGAGTACAATTGTCAAGTTTTCAGATGATACTAAGCTGGGAAAAGTAATAAACAGTGAGGAGGATAGTATCAGACTGCAAGAGGACATAGACCGACTGGTAAAATGGGCAGAGACGTGGCAGATGAAGTTTAATGTGGAGAAATGTGAAGTGATGCATTTTGGGAGGAAGATTGAGGAGAGGCCATATAAGCTGATGGCAGAATCTTGAAGGGGGTGAAGGAACAGAGAGACCTGAGGGCTCATATAAGTAAATGTTTGAAAGTGGCAGAACAGGTAGATACAGCTGTTAAAAAAGCATACGGGATACAAGGCTTTATAAATAGGGGCATAGAATACAAAAGTTAGGAAGTTATGATGAACCTTTATAAACCACTGGTTCGGCCTCAGCTGGAGACTGTGTTCAGTTCTGGTCCCCACACTTTAGGAAGGATGTCAAGGCATTGGAGAGGGTGCAAAGGAGATTTACCAGGATGGTACCAGGAATGAGGGACTTCAGTTATGAGGAGAGGCTAGAGAAGCTAGGATTATTCTCTTTGGAGCAGAGAAGGTTAAGAGAAGACTGAATAGAAGTTTTCAAAATTATGAGGGGATTTGACAGGGTGAACAAGGAGAAACTATTTCCACTGGGTGGGTCGGTAACCTGAGGACACCGATTTAAAATGGTTGTTAAAAGAAACAGAGAGGACGTGAGGAGAAATGTTTTCATACAACAAATTGTTAGGATCTGGAATGCATAGCCTGAAAGGGTGGTGGAAGCCGATTCGATAACAACTTTTAAGAGAGAAGTAGATAATTATTTGCAGAGGACAAGTTTGCAGAGCTATAGGGAAAGGGGGTTTAATTTGAGTAGCTCTTCACAAAGAGCCGGCACAGACATGATGGGGCAAATGGCCTCCTTCTGTGCTGTATGATTCTATGAATGTTCTTCCAGTTATACCATTGGCAGGGACTCAGAACCATACTTGTCACAAAGACAGCATCTTGGGGCTCCAAGGGCTGAAATTCCACCTGCCCTTAGACTGTGTTGTGGAGAATTCATAAATTCTTCAGTCTCAATTTCGAGGAACTGCAGAAAAACAGGTTTCAAATTAAGACTGAAATTAACAATTCTACACACTTCTACACCATTTTATACTTTAAGACAAATAGTCTTCCAGGTTCAGGCTAGAATTGGGTTTGAGAACTTATGAAATTGATATTCCATGAAGTGTCACTGAAATGCAGGATGGCTCAATGGCTTGGGGCTCACACATTTTGACAAAGGGGGAATTTGGAGCAGACTGAGACATCAACAGGGATGGAATTTTTGACCACATAACAATATCACTTTTAATAATCACCCTATTGAATTTCACATTTTCACCCCCAGACACTTGAGGCCTGAAATTCCACACAGTGAGAGCCTGTTAAGATCATTGTGTTTTAAAATATGAGGTTGAACATAACTGTGAAAAATTCTTTGATTGCATCTTAACGTGGAAGTTGTTTTTCTGTAATTCTTAAAAATAAATACTTCTGAATTAATACTACATTGAGCATTTTCTACATTTCTGCACAATGATAAATTGGACTAAGGTGGTGTGGAATTTTTAGTCTTCAGTTGCTTGGAGATTAGTACATACGGCATTCTCCTGCAAACTATAATAATCCTTGCATTTGATATAGCGCTTTATAACATCTTCGAGACATCTCAAAGCGCTTCACAGAATATACTATAAAGTGAATTGACTATATTTTGTGGGCAAAATAAAATAAACTATAATAAAATCCCATCACAAACCACTAAACAACAGGAGGATGATAAGGAATGCAAACAGGAATATCAGCTTCTTTCGTTGTGGAAAGTTTCAGTGCAATAAAAATTAGTCTCAGATATATGCAGGTAAAGTTTAAAAAAAATAAAGTCCCAACCAAAGTACATCTGAATCTTACCTGCCCCATAAATCAGGTCTTTCCAAAGATGCAAATTGTTTCAATTTGAAGTAGATTACAATTAGTTTTCAAGGTACTCAGCCCTAAATCTGACTTCATTCGGCATTTATCTCTCACTTTCTTATGGGAAGTTAAAAAACAGTCATTGGAAAAACTGCAGCATATATGGTGTTTGGTGCGAGAAAAAAGTAACTTCGGATGCAAAGTATATCTTCTCCAGGTAATCACATGTATTCTGTTATGACCCGAAATCTCATTGGAGATGAGTTCCTGGGGGACTACATGACATACAAGGATCCACAGGAGAAGCACTTTACATCTTGAGGCACTTCTCCCATCAGAAAGCACCATTCAGTCTGCCATTTCCTTCATGAAGGCTTTTTTAACCCCCAATGCTTGAAAATATTATAAATGGTTCCAATGTTTGCTTGTGGGAATTATCTGTTTAAAGTTTTGACGAACCCTCGTGGAGAATTCCTGATGTTGAGTAGAATAATTTGAAGCAAACTTTTGAAAGTGTGTGGTGTAATGTACTCGTATAATGAATGATAAAATGTGATCTTTTGTATTGGCAACAAACAATCTGTACAATGGGTTCAACTTTTCTTGTGGAGACCGTTTCAAGTTGCTCAGTTTTCACTTCATAAAGAGAGAATGTTATCACTGGTATTACTTGCAAAAATTTTTTGTAAAATTGCGATTAATTTTCCCTCCTGTGTTCATCTATTTCTACTGACTTTCTTTTACTGCTCTTCTTTGAACAGTGAACTCTAGTGATATGAATCGGGGAACTGAGTTGGAGGAAGTACCAACTCTGACAATGAAATATTGAATAAGAAATGTAGTCAATTATTCCATGGGTACTTCAGCTATCATCACTTTTTCTGTGCTAAGTTGTTCTGTCAACGTTTTCTCCCCTAACAGTTGTAATGTTGTATTTTATTTGAGAGTTTTTTCAGCATAAAGTTCATTAATTTCCAGAATTAAAATTGAAATAAAAGTAAAATTCAGTTATACTCGCCATAAATTGTAATATTACAAATCATAAATTGGCTTCATTACAGGTATTGAAAAGTGGAGGCTACTAAATTGCCTGCAGCATGTCAATCATCCACTCCATTACAAAAGCAGATGTGCCTGGGCAGAAATTTGGTTTGATGACTATATACAACAAATGAAGCTGACCAGTTAGTGGAGAAATGACAAATGGAGCAGTTATAACATGTGCCAGTTTAATTTATGCTGACTGTTAAAACTAATGAGCTTCTCTGCTACGTCTTTTGTCATGGGAAATGTCAAACAGCATAGGGTTAGACTGCTGGCTCAGCATTGCACTCTTCCCTTAGCAACATTTAACCAAAACAAAGTGTTGTATGTGCACAGCGCTCTCCTAACTGCCCTTCACACGCTGAGGATTTTTTAATGTTAATGAAGAGTGGGCTGGGATAATTCAAATCTTAAGGGAAATCCAGTATAATATATTGCCTGAGAATATTATAACTTTTGAATTTCAACTATAAATGTTGGTTCTGCATCACCTGCAGTTGTACTACAGCTGGTCCATAGCAATCTCTCTTATGCTGAACAGCATTTTTTAAACTGCAGTTATATAACAAAAGCAGTATACTCTGCAGTATAACTGGCTTAAAGATCTTAAATGGGTAAAAATTGACCTCTGCAAAAACATGTGTCTCGTACTTTCATTTATATTTGACATTTTCATATTTTTATATATATGATGTGTGAAAATATGAAAAAGATATTTGGTTATTAGATGTAAAGATATTTCCCAGGTAATACAGAAATTATTAATATAATAGAGAACCACTGAATTTTAAATTGGTAACAATTTAAATTTGTGGATAAATAGAGGTGTAACGAGCACCAAACTCTCACATGTACGTACTTTACTGTTACTTTAAAATATTCTTACTATCTATTGCTGTTTTAGATTCCTCTCTTATTTTGATTTGTTTCTCTTTGTTTTATCCAGCTCCCAGGCTGCTTTGAGTCTTGTTCTTCTTTCTGTAACTTGTGCTTGATTTTATTAAGGTGTTAAGAATAGTACAAACAACACGTGTATAAATTCATGTCTTGAGGTCTCTGCCCAATTATATAATAAATAGTGAAGATCAAACAAAAACCTTACCAGCTGTTCATAAACATTCCTGAGAAAGGCCTTCAGCATTTCTTCCTGAGATGCCAGTGTGTATTGCAGTCTTCTCTTTTACAATCGCAAGTGACAAATCCCAATATTTTCTGCCCCGTTACAGTTA